GCTTTAATGGTGACTTCAGTCGGATTTATGCCACAAACGATCCGATCTTTTACTTATATCACGCAACGACTGCCGATATGTCTRTACTGAGCTGGCAATTATCTGATGATCTTAATCTTGTGCCAGAAAACTATGGATTGGGCATCAAATATGACTCTCAATTRAATAGGACAGTGATTGCCAACATTGAGACAGATATGTTAACCGATTTCACCAATACCTCTATAAAAGAGACATTTCAGATAGGATTTGGTGAACTTTGCTATATTCACGATCGCTTTGTCCGACCCATCAATGATTTGATTAAAGGAGTCAAACCAACGGTTCCCGAAGCTATCAAACGACTCAAGAMWTCACTACCGGACAAAATATTTGAAAAATACTTTCCAAAGTTTGCTTTATATCCCAATGAGGTTAYRTTTTTCGACTACTTATTCCCCGATGTCGACAAATGTGCTAATGTTTGTAAATCAATGCCAATTGCTAARCGTTTTATAGATACTGCTGAGGGTAGACGGGCCTGGCATAGATTCATTAACGATTTRGATGTGGATATAACACAAGCTGTGACGGTATCAGAGRACAGTTAYCTAACATTTATGCAACATTTAAAYSAAAGCAATTATTGTTCACCATATGTTGTTTAAATAACTTTATACAGTATTTAATTACTTATATTTTTAAAACTATTATTTTTAAGCATTAYATAATAATATTTTATCTGTCATATTTTTATTATATTTATTGATAATATTGTGCATTGATATGAGTTTATTTAAAATATTAAATTATACTGTATAARTAATATATATTCAGTTAAATAAATTTTAGCAATTATAAACTTTATTAAGTAAATTTATTAATTTTATTTTTTTTAAAATAATTAATTAGTTTCAATGTTTGATGATTGAGTTAKTGTTTGTTCATTAGGTGTTTGATTGGTTTCTAAAGACATTTCAGTGATTACATCCATTGCTTGTTCATCCTCTTTGACAATACTAGGTCTGTGAGCGATTAGATGACTAGAAACCAGACCCGGTCTATAAGCAACTGTTACACAACCAATACAATCAGCAATTTTATTAATACGGATCTGTTTGATAACATCTTTTAAGTTGACACTTGAYAATAGATTTTGAACGTCGACTCTAGCGAACAGTTTTTGGACACTTCCTGATAATTTGGTGATTCCTGTATCACAGGCACAGGCACTGGGATCCGGATTTGGCAAATCCATAAATTCAAGATATGCCGTTCCCAATAATCTTTTTGGCCCATCTGTTACATAACCAATTGTTGTTGAAGTATAMGATCCTGAAAATAATTATTATTAAATAAAAGCAGAATAWAATTATTTTGATGTAATTAATTATGAATTATTTTTTATTACCATTATTTCTATTGCTTTTAAAATAGATTAATTTGACTTCAACATCAGACACTACTTTTGTATTATTTAAACCCAACATTTCAATGTGGAGCTTAACAATAACGTTGTCGTSACTGGATATGTGTTGACATTGTATGGCATCGCACGAGTCTTTAAGTCTACCATTCATTATCTCTTTGATGGACAGTATATGAGCCACGAGTTTGGACTCACATTCGTTGACCGTATATTCAGAATAATATTGAGTTTCTAATGTTACAAATCATCAATTAGTAGGGTATATATATATGATCAACAATTACTTWGTMTATACCTCTGGTAGTTTCGGGCTCAGGTATCGGAAAATTTTCATGTAATGCTTTTTCTTCCATAAGTCCCGGCTCGTAATGATACTTTGCACATCCAGAGCACACACCTAACGATGTATTTTTAAACAATTCAATYAATTGACTTTTCGTTTGTGTTGTCCATAATAATTGAAGCGATTGCTTATCAATTGTTGAAAATATGATCTCYGATACACCAGTTTGTCGTTTCAATCCGTCTACAGTACAGCAAATTTCGTCGTCTAAATTAGGTATTTCCGAAACAGCCAAAAATGTTTTGCCTCTAATTGTCTCACAACTGTTGTCATCGACATAACCGATTGATATGCGATACAGATTTCCTATTCATAATAATAATAAAAAATTAATAAAAAYATTTRACAATTACCTGTAATAGTCAAATATCAATGGTGTTACCATTTTTTCTCGTTTCATTAATAAATGAATGACTTAATATTGTCGTAATGGGACCCCAACTATACTTAGTGGTGATACCATAGATCAGATTTGCTGAGTAATTGCGCTGATAGTCGCATAGCTTAGGATTTGGTATATTTCTATAGTCTAACTGTAATTTWATTAACCGGGCCTTACAATCGTGATTACAGATTAGAGTCTCAGAGAAATTTGTGTGACATGCTRTRCAAAAAATACATATTTTTATTGATTAAATATTATCATTAATAATTATATAATAATATACCTCTATGTTGATAATARTATTTTTCATTAAAATTATCAGGTAGATATTTGTCATCTAATTCACTGGCACCATAATCCAGGTAAAGTGAACTAAAAAGTATACAAACTAATAATTTTGTTTTCATAATTGAAAAAYTATTTTTATTTAGTGATTTTTAAAGTATCTATCATATTATTTTATGTTAAAAAAAATTCTGTTATTTTRTTAACATAATTTTAATCATTAAAAAATTACACAATTGACATAATTTTTTTGTGTAAATGCTCAAGAAACTAGTTTTTACAAAAAAAAATAATTTTCTGCCWCATAAACTCAATTACAGTTAATAGAGATTTGCTCATAAAAATAAATATATTTTTTAAATACACAAAATTCAAGTATTAAATAAATWATTTTATTTATTTCTATGTAATTTATATATTAATAATAATTATATTAATTGTTAACCCAGTTTATCGACAAATATTTTTCTTTTGTTGTCATATTTGAAATAGTTTTTTAGTTTAGGTTTTGATGTGGTCTCTTGTGGCTTAACAGCGGCATGTATTTCACCGYTTTGTACATCACTGGACACCAGTCCCGGACTGTACAACACAGTCGCGCCACCCAAACAGTCRACCAGACGGTTACTTCTGATTTTTGTTACAATTGAATCCAAATCCATAATTGATAGCAAATTTTGAACATCAAGATTGGCAATGATTTTCTCAGTTGAACCGACCAGTTGTGTGACTCCCGGTTCTGAATCGCAAGCGTACGGATTAAAGTTGGGTAAGTCTAGTATTTCCAAATAAGCATCACCTAACAGTCCTAACGGACCTTTTATTATTATGCCGATAGCTATGCCATAAAAACTKCCTAAATAGCAATACAATKATCAATATTTTACAATATTATTAAATTATTTGATAATAATTTAAATTTTTCAAAAACCTTTATTTCTAAAGCCATTAGAGTACAGGATCTTTGCCTGAGTCCTGTTAGGATTGGCATTGTTGCCAATATAGACGGCAAACTCATTGATATCGTTCTCGTATCTRTCAAAGAGATCGATGGCATCGCAMGAGTCAAGWGTCTGATATCGGGCCGTCTCCTCAATGCGGACAACATTTGATGGCAACGCTTCGCACTCGTCTAAAAACTGTCCAATAGTTTCTGTTGTATCTGAAATGTTTGTTATTTTTTAATTGTTTTAAAATTTTGTAATATTATTCAAGTGTTKCTACAAATAAATAATTAGTACCTCTTTTTAATGTATTAGATATGGGATAGTATTCRTCGAGTATGTGTTCATTGATGAGTCCCGGTGTGTAACTGAGTACTGTTGATCCAATACAGTCGGCAACGTTATAGCGCCGAAACATAGCCACTAACTGATCATTAGTATACTTATCAATTAAACTATTGAGTCGTCGATTGTCTATATTGGCAAATATAATCTCTCCGACACCCGATTGTCTGGTCAGACCTTCAATTGAGAAACAGGAAAATGGATTCAGATTTGGCACATCATAGACCACATAGAAAGATGTTTCCAATAGGGGTTCGGCACCACTTTCAACATAACCTATTCCTTTAACCTTTGCACTACCTTTTCATTTAGATAATAAGGTATTATTTCTATAAATAATATTTTATGTTTTTGCAATACCATTAACCCGTGTTTCTTGAAAATAATGTACATTTAGTATTGTGCTAACCGGCCATCTCTTGCCTCTAACCGTAATGTTAACCGATATCCTAAACTGTTGTAAAGTCCTATTTGTGTCGCAAAGTCTGGGATACTCTGAGCTGTCGGTCTCGATCTCTAACTTCAAAATCTGTCCATTTTTACCGGAATCGCATATTAATAGATCTCTTTCAGTCCTATTTGTATCTTAAATTTAAATTAACATTAAATGATAAAAAACATAATTTMAATAATACATAAATAAAATATTGCATTAATAAAAAAATCCTACCTTTAAGATCATCAAATGTATAGCTGGCAATAAAATCTTTATTTAAACCACTATTTGCCAACTTTAAAGTTTGAAACGATTGTAWTGATAGATGAACTATAATTATAYAGAATTTTATTTTWAAAAATAATTAAAAGCAATTTATATGTAGATATACCTGAACTGACAAATAATAAAATACTGAATACAATACTTGTTAAACTCATTGTATGATTAATCATTTATTTTAATACAGATATATAAATATTTAAAAATATAAATCTATTAGTTATTATCAAATTCAAAATGGCTTAATGTATTTTAAAATGTAAYTATTTGTGTTATATTGTAAAAGTCTATGAACTCGAGTGCAAATGTGTTGTAAATTATCTGCAATAATACTATTAATGATTTTTTTTAGTATTTTCTTGTTTTAGTAAATTTTATTTGATTAGTCTAAAAACAGTATATTTAACATTTTATTATAAAAACATTATATTATTATTAKTATCACTTGCATTATATATGCAATTAAAATTTTTAATATTTTTTTAATGTACTTATTTAACCTAGTTAATAATAATATACCGTATACTGTAATACTAAAGCTTATAACATTAAAAATCAGAAAATAACATTAAAAATATTTTATAGTAAAATTTTAATAAAATTAATTTAAGTTAAATAAAGATTTGTTTTAATATCCRATTGATTAGATACGAGTCCCGGCATATATGTGACAGCTATTGAACCCAAACAATCGACTATTCTTGTGCCACGAATTTGTTCAATGATCTCATCCAAGTCTAASAGATTYATTAGATTCTGAACGTCCAGATTAGCAAATATTCTTTCAGTGGTTCCAAACACTTTACTGACACCCGATTCACTGAGACAGTCATATTTATTGAGATTAGGTAGACTGGCCAAACTTAGATATGCGGCACCTAACAAATTGGTCGGTCCTTTAGTCACTATACCGATCAATGTTTCAGTAGAACTGCCTATAAKTTATAGRAAATATAAATAATTTTTTAAAAGTTTTTTTTGTYATAAAACTTATAATATTTAGTTATACCCATAAYTCGACTGATCTTTTCGTAAAGTGTTTGAACAGTCACTTCATGTGACACATTGGTAGTCGTGTAGACAATAAAATTAATGGTTTGCTCTTCAAACTGATCCTTAATGTACATTGAATTACACGATTCCTGTGTCATAACTGTGCGTTTGTCTATAATTCTGATGACTTTTGCTGATAAAAATTCACACTCTTTGAGACTTTCAGTAAACGACTTTTTAATTGCTTTACAACAATAAAATTATTTTATAATATACTGTAATAGTGTTTTAGACTTAAYATATAACTTATGATATAAGTAAAGACTTACTAAATTTACGGGCTTTAAGTGGTGAATACTGTTCMGTAATTAGATGACTGTCCATTAGTCCCGGAGAATACGTAAAATACGAGATCGCTGTGCACACTGTATGAGATTTATTATTAAATATRKCCATCAATTGGTCAGTATTATTAGCAAAAAATAGTTTGTTCAGTAATTTTGGATCAATTTTGGAAAATATCATAGTTTTTGGTCCGACTTGTTGTGTAAAACCAGTCAAAGAACAGCATTTGTGTGAATACTGATTGTGACTATCGGTGAGCTCCAAAAATGACAGACCAAYCAACTGTTTGTAAYTGCATTTTTCAATAATACCAACGGMTACTGACTCCAGATCTCCTATAATTAATAGTTATTATAATATAAAATTAAATCATATCAATTAAATTATTATTATWGATTATATTTTTTAAAAATAATAATAAATATACCATTACATCGAGACTCATTGATATGAAATTTGTTAACTACTGTCGACACCGGTGAGGACGGCCTGTTGGCTAAGTATACATTATAGGTAAGCCTTTGCGAGTAAGTCCTACTGTATGAACACAACTGCGGAAATTGAAGATTATATTCATTGAACTCAATTCTGCTAATTATAKGAGATTTACAGCTCAGAGWAAACCATTGACTAGTGTTTGTAGCTATTGATTGAAAATTAATTCAGATTTTTATAATTATAAAAATTACTAWTAATTCAGACTTTGTGARTGCGGTGTCCACTCAATAACATCACTGATTTTACAGTCATCTAAAYAAATWWAAAAATATATTTATTTATTTATTTATTATATAAATTTCTTAATTAAATCTATATCTAAATACTTTTATAAATTGATGAATAAATAATAAATAAGATGCAAATAAAATTCATTTTAAAAGCAATAAAAACATTTTTATTTTTTATTAAATAATATAATGCCTTACCTGTAAAATATTTTCTCTCAATAAAAATATGTTTAATAAATAAATTTTACAAAAAAATATGTTTTCATATTATACATWTTATGTTAGAAATAAACATAGATTTAACTTTTAAAAAAATTATCAAAACAACAACACGGATATGTTTATGTTTGAACTCACATATCATTAAAACTTACTAAACGCTCAAAAATTGATATCATAATTGTTAGAGTTTATTACAAAAGAAAATTTATTATGAATTTCTACTAATCATTATTATGTCAATAATATTCATTAAGATATGTCAAAAATTATTGTCAAATAATTTTTAAAAGTKTTTTTGTATTTTATTTGGAAWWGATTTTAGTTATACAATAGATTTTCCCAGAACTATATGTCAAGTTTTATTCTCAAACCTATTAATGATAAGTTCAATCAAATTGATAAGCAATTAGTTTGAAACATAAAAAAATTACAAAAAAATATTTATTAAATAAGTATATTTGTCGATTAAATCGYTAAATATTTTATTTGAATTGTTTAATATTATTATATAAAATGACTGTATACTACAATATATGAAAGTTTATATAAAAAAATTAAGTTAACAATGTGTTATCGCATATGAAAAATTACAATGAATTTTATTGGCTATCACTTTTAATCATATCCTTAATAATGAATAAACCTCTTGAAATTAATAATACAATTATTTAATACAATTGATATGTTTAGAAAAAATAAGTTAATTATTGATTAGAAATTTCAAATARAGCCTTGAATTGCAAAATTAGGTTTATATATAAAATCTCTCATAATTTTTCATATAGTCTTCAGTGTATTGTTGTTAACTACAACTGTAACTAAAGAGTAAGTAAACTACTAGTCATTAAAWTTTTTTTCAGTTATTTTATTATAAATTTTGTATTATTGTATTGAATATAGACATGAAGTCAGTATTAGCACTGAGTCTTTTGGTTTTGGTTGTGGTGGCCATAGTTGTGGCCGAAAAAGAGCCGCCGAGATTCTGTGGCGGTAATCCCGACTGTAAACACACCGATAAAGACAATCCGGCCGAATGTTGTATGCCATCGAAAAAGGTTGAACTCAATGGATATAATGAATGCCAGCCCAACCCCAACAAATCGGGACAGTGCCCGGAATGGCATCCCGTCAATCACTTTAAATAAAACCACTTGTCTAAGTCATATATATATATATAATGTAATGTAATTTGTTTATTTTTTATGTATTTACACGATTACTTGTTTTACTGTATATTTATTATTATTATTACCTTTCATTAATCTGTAACTATTAGTTTAAAAATAAAAATAATTTTAAAACAAACTTTAGTGAAGTTAATAAATTACTATAATTATTAAATAATAAGAATAATAATTTTTATTTTTATTGTGAAAAGTTGAACATAATTAATGCTAAAAATTATAGCCTATAATACATACATCTATATGAATGGTGAAAATTATTGTATTAACTATATTTATAATGTTATATTATATTAATATCGATATATAATATATATATAACTATTAATATCTAACATTAAGTAAAAATAATTATAAAACAAAATGATCAAAAATAATATTTTATTTGTATTATCAAAAATGATTAGACAATGTACTAGAAAATGGAAATTTTAAATTGTTTTTTTAATCTGGATATAAATCATAAAAAACKAATATAACTTTTAAAGTATTATACATTTTAAAATAAATACTTATACAGTATAATAMTGGTATAGAGTACATTAAATCATGCTTAATTATTCCATATCTAAAACGTACATGATCAATTTATAAATGGAAAATTTTGAACAAATATATTGACAATTGACATTAGTTGCTTTTTATGACAAACACAACTTTAAGCTAACTGATAATATAATAATATTATTATTATTATTTATATCTCATAGTCTAACCTATTGTATAGTAAATTTATTTATATAACAAAAATTATTTATAGTTTTTAAAACAAATCATTTGYATATATCACATAATATAAATAATTATTAATCAATTATTAGTATTATTTAAATAATTATAATATAAAATTAAATATAGTTTAGTATCAGTAAATAGAAGACAATGTTTATAAGTTATAAATTAGAGAATGTTTACTTGTATTTAACATACTGTACTTAATTTTAATAACTGAACTTTGCAACATGGTAAAATAACAAATTGTTGAAAAATTGATAATAGTAATTGTCTTTTAGTTTTATCATACAATACAATCAATTTTAATCACAAGAATATTTAATTTCTAACTGATTTTAAAGTATAAGTAAATAACTCTTTTATTATTTGTATGTAGTGTTGGTTTCAATTCTAGAAAGTTTCCAAAATTATGTTAATTTTTTCTAAATATTTCATATCTTTTAAAAATACATTATAATTATAAATAATAATTAAGCACTATTGTTAGTATTAGAATTAATGTATTAAAARTATACTTAAATTATAAATAAAATTTTACAAAAAAGTAAGTATAATTTGATAATTATCTTATTATATATATATATATATATATATAGGGATCCCATTTGTATAATAATGTAGTGTCTATTAACTATTACAATATMTATAAATATGGGGATCCCAATGTATAATAATTAAGTAAAATATTTATAAAATTTTATTACTGAGAAATTTTCTTAGAGAAATTTATTAGAAATTTCTATTTGCCCATCTCTAATAGATAAAATGATTTAACTATAATATTAAATCAATAAAATAATTATGAAATTTATTGGCACACAAAAACCCTAAGTTTTTAAACTAATTGTTATAAAAAAATATCCATAAAATAATGAATTTAATCATTTTTTTGTACGATAAATAAAATAATGTTTTGATAAACTTCAATTTTTATAACATTGACTTTACGGTAATTAATCTCATCATTTATAATGTGAAAAATTGTTTTTAAAAATATTTAATTGACAATTTATTATAAATATTACAGGTTAACAAACATATTTGTCTGAATCTTAAGCTTATTTATAGTATATATATATATATATATATATATATTGTATATTTTTATTAATATAATTTATTTCAAACAAAAAATTTAAAATAAAATTCAAGGTAATAGAGAGTCGTCGCCTACTTATAATCAATGAATTCTGTATATATTGTTTTATTTAGTGATGTTTACTATTATTACTCTTTGTGTATATAARTTTTTGGTTTATTTGTCAGCATATTTTGTAGTAGTTTTTATTTAAACTTTATTTACCTGAGCCAGCAATCAGTCAGTTGACTCTGTGATTATGTGAACAAAAAATTGTGATTTAATTAAATAATTTACAAATTAATTTAAATAACTATTGTTTTATTTTACATATTCTCTGTATTTATTGTATATTCGTGTATAATATTATAATGAAGTTAAAAWTTTCTGTAATTAAATATTATTTTCAATTAATTTTGTGTATATTCTGTTATGTAAGATATCTGTCCGCTGAAGCTTTACATGGATTCACAATAAGGGTATGACTTTAATAAAKCAAATTTATTAAATGTTTAAAAATAAAATTACAATCTTTTATACTATTTAATACTACATTTGACATTTTAATTTATTAAACAATTATTMTTATCTTAAAACTTATTTGATAAAATTTATATTTTATAAATAGTGATAAATTGAAAATAATATTATGAAACAATTGTTGATAGAAAATGTTGTATAAAGCAAATTTTTTATCAGCTATTAATTCAATATTTTTATAATTAGTATTACATATATTTTATTATGTTATCTATATAATTTATTACAGTAATACAGTATTACTAGTAATTATTTTAATATTAATAAAAATTATATATTAATATGTTAAAATACTTAAAAAATATCTGATAAAGATATTTTATAAATGAAATTAATAAAAAAAATAATTTACATAAATCTCATGTCTATATTAGATCTATTTTTTATATTTAATTATCTATTAAATTACAATATCTTGTATATAATTGCTTATCACTTTCATAAATCATACAACAATATGAATGAGTAGGTGAGTATCGGGACCTTCAATTTAAACATCAATTTCATTGAATGCTTGAAATTATAAATTACACGATATATAGTTTTAATAATAATAAAATCCACAATTAGTAATGTTATTTATAGTTGAAATAAAAATAATTGYTGACTTTTTAAAAAATTCAACATTAAATTATTTGTAAACTATATTGAAKGAAWAAATGCTAATGATAAAATGATTTATATAGAATTGGCCCTATGCTAACCAACTGGAAAACGGCCAGTTTGAGGGATTTGTAGTCGATATACTAAACGAGGTGGCACGGTTAGCTCATTTAACATATACATTGAAACTATCAAATGAGACGGACTACGGGGGCTGGTCTATCAATGGCTCTATAACTGGTGTTATCGGTCAGATCTATCATAATGTATGTAACATTTAAATAGTTGTACTAATTTTTTTCTAGAGTATATAAAACRATTTGTTTARTCATATTATAATTTATAATATGCTATAAATTTATATAAGGTAATTGTTATTATAGCATAATTTTTGTTTTAAATTATACAACAAAAATTGATTGATTCATGTTATCTGGGGTATTCTCCGAAACAGGCCGTTCCTCAATAGGGTTGTTTTCAAGTGACTACTGTCACCTTTTGAATTCACGTATCAATTTATTAAAATAACAAAATATTTGTAATTATTATTATACTTATAATAATAATAATAATGAAAATGCAAATCAAATGTATACAATGAAATTATGAAGAGTAATTATTAAAATAACAAAATATTTGTAATTATTATTATACTTATAATAATAATAATAATAAATGATAACCAATGAAATTATGACAAAACAAATTTTATMATTTTTAATAATTAGTATTAAACAAAGAAAAATGAAATTAAAAAAATAAAATTATCAAATTATAAATGCTATGTCAGYATAATGTCAACGATTAGTAACTATAGTAGTGTTGAAGTGTTTAACTTGTTTTTTGCATTCAAGATAATTGTGTGGTTCATAATACAGGTGTTGGTTATCCCACATAAAAATAATTTTCTAATAACATGACCTTAATTTCTAGTTAGTGCTCACATCCCAACCAAATATGGTTTTAATAAACACTATTTATATAATAAGTTAAATAAATTCATGATTTTTTTTGTTAAACTGGATTTCATTYATTATTAAACTATAATATTTAAGAATCAATACATATATAATATATATATTTATTTATTATACTCCTATCATAACTCATGTTTCCTTTATTTAGTTATTTATTTATTCAAAAAAAATATTTAAAAAAATACAAATCAAACAAATAATTTCTATTTATTATTGTATTTGATATTCAATTCATAGGAAATATAATACAGTAATTATGAAATATTAAAAACATAATAACAATAAAATAATTATAAACTATTTAAATAATAACTAAACAAACCATTTATAGTAAAAATCTATAGAAAACACTGTAAATAGTTTAGTAACTAATTGTGAAAAATAACTCATTGTTTATTATATTTTTTGAAAAATAATATTTTTATATTTAATATTAAAACAAACAATAAAACAATGAATATCTTTATATATGATCGTAAAGGAGGCSGACTTTGCCATCGGAGACATCACAAGACTGCGAACAAGAGACCGATACGTAGAGTTTAGTCACCCGTTCCTTAAGTTCGGCTTAAGTGCACTCATCCGTAAAGATCTGGTGGGAAGTATGTCGTCGTTCAAAGATCTGGCCGACCAGTCCTTCGTTGACTACGGAGTCAAGAAATTAGGAGCAAATTTACCGCTTTTTCACAGCAGTCCTGTGATTACCAAAATGTATAACTATATGGACGCCAATCCATCGACATTTGTKTCSGGAGAGAAAGAGGGTATACAACGGACCAAAACCAGTCGTTACGCATTCATAACAGAGTCGACATTCAACGAGTATATCGCACAACGAGAGTGTGACCTCACGGTTATCGACGACAGGCGCCAAAACTTTCAGTTTGAGTACGCAATAGCTATGAGAAGAGGTTTATCGCAAAGAAATGCTATCAATGATGCCATTAGAGAGATGCAAAAGTCTGGCAAATTGGAGGCATTGAAGGAAAAGTACTGGAAGTCCGACAAATGTGTCGAAAAGACTAATGTTGTTGAAGTGAATCCCAAGGTTGTCAGCGCCAGACTTGAAGATCATGAAAGAGAAGAACACGAAACTAGCGATGAAAATAGCAATCGAGAAGAAGGCAAAGTTGATGAACATCACGGAAAGGGAGGACGACATCATCGACATCATCACAGACACGGCGATCATCCGCATTGGTTTGATTTTGGACGGGCACATACAGCACATGTACATTATGCAGCACTGGCTATAGCTATATTAATTGTCATTTTAAATAGTTTTCATCATTAAAACCATTATATAATTAATTTTTTAGAAATCATATTAAATTTGTAATAAAAATAACATTATTTTCTTTTTGTTTTATAAAATTAAGCCATAAAATATAAATGCATCCAGTAAATWTTATCKTTAATTTAATGTAAWTTTAAGACTAATATTATTATTTAAATAAATATCAAATATAAGTATTTTTCAATTATAMAGTATTTTTCTASAAATTTCAATAAAACCTATTTAGCAAAACATTTTTAAAWATGAGATGAAGTAATGAACACTTATCAAAAAAACATCATTAACTTAAACATTGACTAAAACTTTTGAATTGACCGATCAAACCAATGAACTACAGTATATGAGGATATTTTTATCAACAATTTTTTTCAAACTCAAATAAACAGCTTTTATTGTAATGCATTGATTTAAATTGATAAATTTAACAAGGTTGTCTCTAAAACTAAATAAAACAAAATAAGAAAAGCAGTAAAAAACAATTTRTAAAAGTTAAAAATAATTGCAACTAATAGTTGCAAAAAAATTCAATGCTAAATAGTTTTTTCAAAAAATAGTATGTAAAATATGATAAAAATMTAATTATCTATATAATAACTATTCATAAAAATAAACTTAATAACATTTCATATAATTTAAATATTTGTTTTTAATAATAATTAATATGTTTACTGTATGTACAGTATCTTTTAAAACTATWACTACTAGTARTACTATAATAACTAACTTGTGATATATAATTTAATATAAATATAAAAATTAAAATATGGTTTAAAATATAAAAACTTAATTATGATGAAAGTMTTAAATGTTTTGCAATTGGTATAAAATTACCAAATATATTATTTTTATATTGAAATATAATATTTAAATTTAAATAAAATATCGTATTAATAATACACAGACGTTAAAGTTTTTATTATMTTATAATTTATAAATTAATTCATATTTATTGTTAATTCATAATTTTATGATATATAGTATATTATATACGATTTTGCTTTTTCATAATAAAAACATTATTATTATGAATATATAAAATAAATTATATTAATATTATTTATAATAAAAAATAATTTTGAATAAAAAAATTGGCAAAAATTGTGAATATTGTGAAAATTAATTAATTATTATTATTTTATATTTAATGTGTTTTCCTCATAAATATCCCCAATCTATGTCTTACTGTATGAAATACTATGTATACTGTAGATAGACTTTACTTAAAGGACGTCCACTTTTTAAAGTAAAAATTGTTACACTTTGTCGACAGATAAAAGGGCGTAACTCATTGATTGTAAAATGTATTGATTGTGACCTTTTTTATAAATATATTTGTTTGTGTACTGTATTATTCAAATACATTCAATATTAGAGTCCATATGTTTGGACATACATTAGTGATGACTCTCTCATAATAGCACTGATAGTTTTGACACGAGAGGCGCCAAACATAACATAACATATCATAAGTAAACACAACACACGACACGTGTTTCGACCTTCACCTGACCTCATGTCACGCAAACTGTTGGCCAAAGCGTGGGCCGATCTATCAGTAGGACTGCCGTTGGGGACACTGAAAGGGGTCAGTAGTGAAGTGATAGTTGTCTGATACGACCCGAAACCGAGTTTGCAATAAAAAATGAAAGTTTGTTTGTCTCGTAGGCCGTCCTCGCGTATGACATCATAACATATCCCGTGTATCTCGCGCTGCACCGGCCGTGGAATCGACTACAGCTAAGTTCTCGACCGAAGGCCCGATTGATTGACCGGCAACAGCCGAGTGGTCCGTGGATTCGCGCAATTGGCAGTGATTTGCCGAACGATCACTATGCCTACGATTGTCACACATTAGATCAGTTATTTTCGCGGGCCGTCAGTGTCTTTAAAGATCGCCAGTGTTTCGGCTGTCGCCAGATATTAGCCGACCAATTGGTGCCACAGAAAGGAGTTGCAAAGCCGTTCCGCAAATTACAACTTTCCGATTACAGGTTCTATACCTACGATGAAATCGATGCCCGCGTTCAGGCCGTTGCACGCGGTTTGCAGTCTCTGGGAGTCCGACATAATCAACGTGTAATACTTTTTGCCGAAACACGACTAGAATGGATGGTCACATGTCAGGCGCTGTTCCGATTGGGCGCAACACTGGCCACACTATACTCAACCCTTGGCATCGACGGTATAGTTCATGGACTTAATGAGACTGAAGTGACACATGTGATCACATCCGATGAATTGTTGCCAAATTTGGCCTTAATTGCCGATCGTGTGCCACACTTGAACACTGTTATATACTTTGAAGGCTTAAGGCCGCCGCCAATCAATACATTATTTCCTGAAACTCTACGCCAACGCATCCGTTTTGAGCCATTTTCAAGCGTTGAATCTCTCGGAAAGTCATCAACTAATACCCAACCTTTTGAATCACCGAAACCTGAATCGCCTGCAGTTCTTATGTATACTTCGGGTTCAACGGGTGTCCCGAAAGCTGTGATAATTTCCCACAAAAATATTGTTCACGCCGTCCGTTCATTTTATAGTATTTACAGCATATTAGCCTCTGATGACGTTTATTGTGCATTCTTACCGCTGGCCCACGTATTAGAACTGATAGCCGAAGTGGCGTTTATTACTATTGGTATGTCCGTCGGATACGCCACTACACTCACACTGACTGATAAGTCGACGGGACTTATGAATGGAGTTAAAGGTGACAGTACTTTGTTGAGACCAACCATTGTCTGTGCCGTACCTCTTGTTTTAGAGCGAATACGCAAAGAAATTGCCGACGAAATAAACTCAAAAGGACGGTTAGTTCGGGCGATATTTGATTTTATTATTCAATATAAGTTATATTGGACTCAAAAAGGATTTCAAACTGTAAGACCATTTTTTTAATGTTTAAAATATTTAAGTTAAGTAACACTTAATTTTATCTTTTTTTTAATAGCCACTTATTGATCATTTTGTTTGTCGACAAATCCGTCAAATATTAGGAGGAAATGTACGTCTTGTAGCCATTGGCTCCGCCCCGTTAGCACCTGAAACGCATGACTTTATACGTGCTTGTCTTAACGTGATTGTACTCCAAGGCTACGGTTTGACTGAAACAGCTGCTTCGGCCACACTTATGGATCCAATGGATTTAAGTACTGGAACTGTTGGTCCACCACTTGAAGGAATGTATATTAAACTGGTTGATTGGGCCGAAGGTAACTATCGTGTGACTGATGAACCGAACCCGAGAGGAGAATTGCTTATTGGCGGCAATTCGGTAACTGACGGCTACTACAAGAAACCAGAGTTGACGGCAAAGACATTTTTTGAGAAAGACGGCATTCGATGGATGCATACGGGAGATATCGGCGAAATACAATCCGATGGTAACATATTAATCATTGACCGCATGGAAGGTCTTATTAAATTACAACAGGGAGAATATGTGTCTCTGGGAAAGGTATGTCTATTATTTTAATTGAAATATACTTTATATTTATTGTTTTATTAATGTTAAGATTGAAACTGAACTCAAGTCGTGTTCGTTTGTCGACAATATCTGCATTTTCGCCTCTTCCCGTCACTCGCATGTTATGGCATTAGTAGTACCCAATCGTAAACGTATACAACGTTTAGCTAAAAAGTTGCAAAAACCTAATGACATGTCGTTTGTTGACTTATGTCGAGATACGGATATTGTTGAGAGTGTGTTGTCCTCATTACAATCTACCGGTGAACGCGCGGGTCTTACAAAATATGAGATACCGATGAAACTTAAACTTTGCGCCGAAGAATGGATTCCTGACAGCGGACTCGTGACGGCTGCTCTCAAACTGAAACGAAAACAGATTTATCACTTTTATAGCATTGAAATCGACAGAATGTACTCTAAATCTGCCACCAGATCCTGATTTTTAATATTTAATTATTGCTTTTTATTAATTGTTTGTTTTTATTTAATTTTATTTAAATTTATTATTTTATATACTTTTTAAAAATGTAGAAATTTTAATAAATTTTATATTTGCTATTTGCACTATTGGCACTGTTATATAATACAATAGTTTATATAGTAATTACAAATAGTCATTTTCTAATTCAATATAGACTTCAATTGTGATTACGGTATGTCTAACGTTTTTTTATACTAAATTTTAGTCATAAATTTAAATTTGTAAATAAATAATTTATGACATGATTTTTTAGTAAATTAATACCAATTGATTTAATTATTTTAAAATGCTTACATTTTAGCCAATAATTTTACCACCAGTACTCTTAAATCTCTTGGACCAACAATTTAATACAAAATATATTTATGTTAATTATGGGAACAGTATGTAAATTACCAGTATGTTAAACGTTTCGGGTGAGTGTATGTTGGCCTACAGGGCTTGAGAGTTAATGTTATTTTATTTATAAAATTCTAAAACAATTACCGCTACTCATCCAATACTATGTAATAATTATATTTTTTAATTTAATAGCAATTTTTGGGTAAGTTAAAATTCTAATATTATATATATATATATATTCTCTATAAATACAATAATATTAAATATTCTGTTATTATTAATAATATATAATTTAATGTACAATATATTATCAAATTTATAAATTGCTAAGTAATTGATAAAAAGAATTTTCTGAATTAATGTTTATATTAAATATGTATGCATTATATTATGATTTCAAATGAATATTTAAAAATTATTATTTTTCTTAATCTTTATAATGATTTGCTCTTATGTTTTGACCAAATATTTATATATTGAGTTCCTTTACGTAAAATCTATTACAAAATATAAATACATAAATGAAAATTAAAATAATTTTCAATATTAATATTATATATATTTTTATTAAGGTTATCATACCGTTTGTTTTTCAAGCCATTCACCTACTGTTTTCAAATTTTTCTGAATCCAATTGATATTTGAATCAATTGTCTCTAAGGCTCGCTGTCTTTCTTTTTGGGTGACCGTTACGTCGGCATTATTGGCCAAAAAGTCTCGGACCTGAAACATACACAAACATGCAATTACCCTAAATTTAAAAAAGTTTTGAATTAGTTATTGGCTAACCTCTTGTTTGCGGACGTCATCGTTAAAATAGATGCACATATTGTTTAAAACGGTTCCCAATTGAGCAGCACTAAGACGTTTGGTTAGTTGTGAATAATTGGTTCGGTAGTAATCCCACATCACTTGCAAACCATCGGGATTTGTGATCACATAATTCAATACTGAGAGGTAGTCTTGTTTGCGTACGTTTTTGTCGTCCATTGATAACTCTAAAAGTCTAATAATAGATATATTACCGGTTAATGCCGTATAAATATAAATCAAAATTATTGAAAAAGTTAGTTATTTTTAACAAACTTTTTTATTAGTTCAGCGTTTGAGGTAAATGCCAGTGCATTCAAGTATTGAAGTTTTAATACTGTTGAAGTCTTTTTTATATGTTTTCCACATCTCTTCCCAGTCTAAATCAACACCATTTCTGATGGCATACTTGAGTGATGGGGACAGTATGTTTGGCGGTACGCTTTTGTCGTCGACTGTCCACTTATAGTACTCAAGTCGAGCATTGGTGAGACAGTCATAATAATTGTTGGCACAGATAAACTCAATAATACTGGAGCGCAATCTTTTTTCCACATGAGTACCCGTGTCCAACCATCCCAATCTATCATAAGTAGGTTTAGCCAAATCAACCAAATAGTTTTGCCAGTCTTGTTTACTATCAGTTGATGATAGATATCTTGTAATCGGTGAAAATAAACTGATGGCTACACTCCACGGAGTTAAGTGTGTCTCCTGTTTAAGGTATTTGGATAACTCTAATGGTGTTAAATAGGTTAACAGTCCGGCTCTCGATAAATATAATGAGTCTATTATGAAATTTGCCCGATCACTGGGGGTCAACGTATTGGTAACATTGTGTTGATTTTCGGTCAACGCTTTGATCCACTTTTGCCAATCGCTTTGCGGGTAATTTACAAAATAATATCCGTCGCTATTGGTGTTGATTTTCAACAGACCATCAGTGGCCGTCTCTAATGATATCTCGATATCTAATTCTTTGTCTTCAATTAATTCAATTGTTCGCTTGTTTGTAGATAATTGTGAATAGTATGTGAAAGGGATAGTCCATACAATGCTGTTATTAATGTTAATAAATAAATAAATAAATTGCAAAATAATTAGATTAATTAAAGTCAATACTCGTCATCTGATTTCTGTCCATTTGCCAAAAACCTGTCTTGAATTATATGCAATTTATTTGGTATCAAATTATCGTCAGAATGGGTAACATTTATGTAGGGAAACCCAGATTTGGTTGTCCACGAGTCCATTAGGTCGGCAACAGTTATCTTATACTATTTGAATAAGTAATTGTCGGTATATATTGAATATTTGTTAAATAAAATTTATGAGATTAATGTTATTTGTTTACATTAGTAGGAAACTTAGTTTGCAGTTCATCCCAAAGATTTTTAGTCTCAACAGTTTTGTGTTCATATTTTTTGAGATATGACTTCAAAGCTGTCTCCCAATTGATACTTTCCATTACCGATTCAAGCATTCGCAAAACTGAAGCTCCCTATAAAACATAAATTAAATCAAATAAAAATTATCGGTAATTGTTTTATTATTTTATGAAAATATAATACTTTATTATAGACTATAGCACTGGTATAAGCCCTCTCTTCCGGTGAATTTACAGGTCTGACAATTGGATGAGAAGTGGCCGACGAATCAGCCGATAGAGCCGGCAATGTATCGGTCATTAGGAATAAGTCATTCTTTAAAAAAGAGACATAAATGTGACTAAATTATTGCAAATTTAATTTATTAAATATATCATTACATAACTCCAATCCTGTTTAAGCTTATTGATGGCTGTATACTCCAAATATGAAGCAAAAGCTTCGTTAAGCCATAGGTCAGACCACCACTTGCAGGTCAATAGGTTACCGAACCACTAATTAAATACAATTTTAATATATTTTGATTTTTATATAATTAGATATTAGTTATTATTTTAAGATACTGTCTTACCATATGAACAATTTCGTGTGTAATGGTCGCCAAAACACTCATTTTATTGGTCGAAGTTGACTCAGTTGGGCTCCAGAGCATAGCTGTCTCGCGGAAAGTTATTAGACCCCAGTTTTCCATAGCACCGGCAGAAAAGTCAGGTATGGCTATAAAATGTGCTTTTGATAATTGATAGGCTGAATCAAGATAGGTCTCAAAATACTTGAGCACTTGAGGTGCTTCTTTCAATGAAAAGTCCAATTTTCCCAAATCTTTCTCAACAGGAGAAGCACATACGTATACGGGATAAGAATTGTTATTGTCTTCAAGACATTCAAAATCACTGACTACCAGTGCAGCCAAGTAGGTAACCATTTCAGGCGTTTCTTTATATTTAATTGTTTGTTTATCACCTTCAATAACCGCATCTCCATCTTGTGCCTCATTAGATATTGTTGTCTTCATATTTTTATCCGATGTTATCTTTATTTTGAATGTCGACTTAAACGAAGGCTCATCAAAACTAGGGAACGCCTTTCTGGCACTTGTGGCCTGAAATTGTGTGGCTGCCAGTGGTATCGGTTTTTCATCTTTATAATACTGGCTTCGGTAAAGTCCGTCCATATTTTCGTTCAACTTTGAGTTGAACTGAAATGATAGCTGATATGTATCAGGATTTAGTTTTGTCTTCATTTGTATGACAAAGAACTCGTACGGCAGGTAACGGAAAGTTTTATCAATTTCTTGAACCACACCATTGAGTAAAACCTTTTGTGATGTGATATTCAATTCCTTAGACGCGTGTACTATAAAATAGTTGACATCTTCCTGAGCGTCCACATCAATAGTTGCCGTTCCCGTGAATTGACTGTTAATCAAATCGATGTCAAACCATAAGTCATAGCTTTTGGGTACTATTTTTTCGTTAAGTCTGTATGTAGTCCACAGACACGATTCAAGTCCACACTAATAGATCAATCAATTAATGAAAAATTAGTTTATTTTGTTTAAAAAAATATATTAAAATAAAATTGTGAAAAATTACTTCTAAAAAGTTTGCAATTTTTTGTTTATTAGCCGAAAGCCAATCAATATTTGATTGAATTGAATTCAAGGCCCGATTTTTGTCAAAAGAGGTTCCGACAAGTGATTGCTCACTACTAAAGAAGTTCTCGACCTATAATTAACGGTAAAAATATTATTTAATATATTTATTCATATAATAAAAATATTGTAAACAATACCTCTTGTTTTTTCGTTGTATTTGCAAATTGTTGACAAATGTTGTTCAATACAACTCCCATTTGAATGGTCGACAACTTTGAGGCAAACTTTTTATGATTTTGTTTGAAGAACTCCCAAGTAATCTGTAAGGCATCCCAATTGGCCCCTAAATTACCTATTAGTGTCGGTATGTCCGATGTCTTAATATCGGTCGAGTCGACAGCTCGTTGCAAAAGTCTGTCATACGTAAAGATAAGTAAATATTATTACATTAGGTATATATATATAACTACTGTATATCTTACGTATTAATAAGCATTGGATTGGTTGTAAAGGTTAGTGCATTCAGATAAGTCTGTTTTTCAATAACCGGTCTATTAGTGTTGATATATTTAGACCATAGAAAATCCCAATCGGATCTATCGGTGCTCTTTCTCATAGCGTATCTCAATATAGAAGTCTTGAGATTAGGTCTCAAAATGTCTACCAAACCGTTCTTCCATTTTGTGAACTCTTTGAGCGCCGAAGTCAGACAATTGTCATCATAGAGACCGCAAACAAAGTCAATGATTGTGGCTCTCAATCTTTTTTCAGTATCCGTTCCTTTATTGTCATCCCATTCCAGTTCATTATAAATATTTTTTGCCAATTCTTTTAGATAATCAATAAATTTTTGTCGATAATCAATAGTTGTTAACATATATTTTTTAATATTGTTTAATGCATCCAATGCTATAGTCCAGGGAGTCAAGTGTTTCTCATGTTTCAAATATTTAGCCAATTGTAGATTACGAACAATAGAGATTATGTTAGCTCTGGACAGGTAGTTGGCGTCCAACAATAGATTTGCTCTATCGCCTGGTGTTAGCTTATCCACTAAATTGTTTTCATTATTATCGAGTGCTTCAATCCATTTATCCCAATCTTCTGGCGGATAATTTACAAAATACATGCCTTTATAGTCGACATTAAATTTGATTAAATCTTTGACACTATCGTCCAATTCAACAGTTATTTCGTCATCTTTTTTAGTTATAAAGTAAAGTTTCGATGTTTTATCGGCAAATGATTTATAATAAGTTAGAGGTATATTCCAKACAGTGCTAATTCAAACATAATTAATATCATTTAATCAATTATTTAAAAAACAATTTTTAGTAATAATAATAATAATAAAGTTTGTATTTTCAAAAAACCTACTCATTTTCTGGTGTTTTGCCGTTAATTAGAAATCTTTGTTGTGATATCTTAAACTTGTTGTTATCAACGCGGGTAACATTAATATATGGAAAGCCAGCTTTTGTTGTCCAAACATCCATAAATGTGTGAATGTCAACCGATAGTTCCTTTAAAACACATTATTATATTATTAAAATAAATATACAGATAATCATAAAATATAAATAATGTGATACAAACCGACGGAAATGATGGTTTGAGAGCATCCAACAGGTTTTCGGTGATAACATTGCCATAACTATTGTTGTTTAAGTAGTTTCTGATACCAGCCTTGAAATTTGTTTCACCCATAACTGATTCTAACATACGAACCACTGTTGATCCCTAAAACACACACACATTAATTGTTAATAAAGATAAACATTTGGTTTAAATTAATAAATTAGATGAAAACAACCTTAGAGTAAACAATTAGACTACTGTAGGCCTGAACATCGTGAGCACTGTCCACTGTACGGACTAATGGATGCGATGTTTCCGATGAATCAGCTTTTACAGCAGCGGTCAAGTCTCTCATCACAAAAAGATCGGCCTATTTATTATAATGTTTAACAAAACAATTATTGTTTAAAAAAATTGAAATAAAACGCCCAAAAGTTTCCAAATAGACATACATATCCCCAATCGGGTTGACTACTGATAACTGCTTTGTACTCAAAAAATGTAGCGAAACCTTCATTGAGCCAAAAGTGTGACCACCACTGACAGGTCACTAGATTACCGAACCACTGAAACATCAAGTGATGGAAATTTAATATTTTTTTCAACAATTATTTTTAATTTAATTAATAACTAACAAAGTGTGCCAATTCGTGACCAATAACTGCAAGAATCGACATCTTAGTTGCCGACGTGTCCTCATTTATATCCCAGAGAAGTCCAGTCTCGCGAAATGTCACTAAACCCCAGTTTTCCATCGCTCCGTAATAGAAGTCAGGAATGGCTATCATATCGACTTTAGGCAATGGATACGATATGTTTGTGTACTCTTTGGCCAAATATGTTATACAATCTTTCGTTGATTTCATAGCAAACTCATGCTTATGCTCCCAAACATGTGCCGCACAGATACCCACTTTGGGTATATGTTTGTCATCATTAGAGCACACAAAGTCACTGACAGTCATAGCGACAAGATATGTTACCATTGGAACCGGTGTTTTTTCAAATTTAGTGGTCACCCAACCGTTTTCATCAGCTTCGCTACTCTTTCCCGGCATATTTGACAGTGTGGTCGACATATGTTTATCGTGAATAATAGTGATCTCAAATGTCGACTTAAACGATGGTTCATCAAAACAAGGGAACGCCTTTCGGGCGTCAGTAAACTCAAACTGAGTGGACGCCAGACCAACAGTTTCATTGTTTTTGTTGATATATTTGCTTCGGTAGAGTCCGGACAGTCCACCCAATAATAGATTACCTTCATATTGGTATTGTAATCGATAAATGCCTTTTTCTGTTTCTTTATCCAATTGAATGATCCAAAAGTCATTGGGTGTGTATTGGAAAGTCTTTACTATATTTAACTCCTTTTGCAATCTAGAAGTTTTGCTTTGGCTAACAGCAAATGCCTTACTATTGGTTACATTCAATATAGACGATGCGTGTAATATGAAATATAAAACGGGAACTTCCGTTTCGACATCAATGGTAACGATTCCTTTGTAGATATTAGTGGTAACATTGATCTGAATGTTGAGCTCATAGTTAAGTGGTTTTACTTTTGGATTGAGTCGGAATTCACTCCACGGACAGACAATGTCTCCACACTAATCAATAGATTAATTGATGTAAAAAATCAGTATTTTAATAATTTTAGTAATCAAAACTGACCGCATTAGAGGCCAACCACTGGCCAATGGTATCACTGTTTTGGGAAATCCATTCGTGATTTTGTCGGATCAGATTAAGACCGCTCTCGCGTGAATTGTTGGACAGACCGATGTTTGGATATTGTTTCAATAAGTTTTCGATCTATACATAAACTCTCATTAATTTATGGACAGTTAGGTTTATTTATAGAGCATACATACCTCACTCCTATGCGATATATCACCGAACTTATCGCATATACTTCTAAATAGACTAATGAGCTGACTCTCTGATAATTTTCTGCTAAGCATTGCATAATTTGTTTGAAAAAAATCCCAAACAACTGGAAGTCCTTCAGTATTTGACGCCATATTCTCCAATAAACTGGCAAAATCGGAAACCGGTACTTTACGATCATCCAGTGCTGTGTCAATCAATCTATTTTTAAATTGAACAAAAAAAATTAAATCAAATTAAACCATAATTTTTCTTTTAAAAAATGATTCAAAATATTGCCGACCCTTTCAATAAAATTTTATCCTTAGACTGTGTGAGTGCCGATAAATATACTGATTTCATGTCATCCTTAGTTTCGATATATTTATTGAAAACAAATTCAAAATCTGATGAATTATCACTTTGTCTGATACCATACTTGAGTACAGATGATCTCAGATTAGGTGACAGTTTAATGGTATTGTTGGCATTCTTCCATTTACTGAACTCTCTATAAGCATCCAAAAGACATTTTTGGTTATCATTACGACAACTCAAATCAACTATCAATGCTCTCAATCGTTTGTCAGGCATTTCCCCATTACTGTCATCCCATCCCAATCTATCGTACTGTTTGCTCGTTAAACGATTCAAATACAAATTCATGCTTTCCTTATATGGACTCATAGACAGTCTGTTGATTGCATTTTCGGCGCTAAACATAGTGTTAAACACAGACCACGGACTCCAATGCGGTTCATTCAGAAGATATTTAGTCAGATCCAGTGCTTTAAGTAGTGGTATAAAATTAGCCCTGGCCAAATAAAATACATCCAAAATAAAACCGGCCCTATCATTAGGTGTTAGTTTGTTAATAATGTTGTTGGTATTTTTGGTTAATGCATTGATCCATTTGGTCCAATCATCAATCGGATAATTGACAAAATAAAACCCGGTATTATCAACATTAAACTTAATCAGATTATCCACTGATAGGTCAGGCATTTCTATTGTAATGGGCTGTTCGTGCACTTTATCTTTGAAAACAAATAATTTTGATACTTTTTCAGTCATATTTGCATAATAGGACACTGGTATTGACCATATTGTACTAAATTTCAATGAATATTAAAAACAAAAATAATTGTAAAATAATTTTATATAATATTATATTTTCAAATAAATCTTTCTGTACTCTTCTTTAGGTTTTTGTCCATTTGCAAGAAAGCGTTGTTGTTTTATTTCAATTACATTTGGTCTCTGAGGATCAGGTCGAGTGATATTAATGTATGGAAAGCCTGCTTTTTGTACCCAATTACCCATCAATTCATGTATACTTTTAACATCTAAATTCTTTTATATATATATTAATAGAAATAATAATATATTTATTATCTAAAATCAAATTGTCTTTAATTATAATTACATCTGGAAATGTGGTATTCAATGCCGTCCATAAGTTATCAGTGACTACAGTTGAATATTGATAATCGGTTAGATATTTTTGAATGCCTTTCCAAAAGTTTTTCTCTTCCATAGCAAACTCCATCATCCGTATTATACATGAGCCCTAAAATAATAGTATTAAGGCTATTAAATGTAAAAAACAAAAATCTTTTTTACTAAATACCTTATTATAGACAATAGCACTCGAATACGACATATCTGCCGGTTTGTCTATTTTGCGTACTATGGGTGCCGAAGATTCTGTGACATCGGCAGCAATTGCACCCACCATATCAGTGCTTACAAATAAATCATTCTAATAGAGTGTATAAGCATATACACAAAAAAGACATTAAATTATTTAATTTATACATTAATGATAATACATACGTAATGCCATTTAGGTTCAGCGTATGCAGTGGACGGCCATTCCATATATGATGCGAAACCTTCATTAAGCCATAGGTCGCCCCAAAATTCACAGGTTAGCATATTTCCAAACCACTAATAAAATGTTATATTTAGTAATTAAAACAAATAGAAAATTAGATAATTTATACCATATGTGCCAATTCGTGTGCAATGATAGACGCGACACCCATTTGACTGGCACTGGTATCCTCATCCTTTGTCCACAATAGTGCGCTCTCTCTAAACTTAACGAGTCCCCAGTTTTCCATAGCTCCGGCAGCAAAGTGAGGTATGGCTACCAAATCGGATTTTGGCAATTGATAAGGAAATTCCAACAATTTTTCAAAAGATTTGAATATTTCAGGTGTTGTTTTCAATGCATAGTCCAGTTTGTATGACTTTGGAGGAGTAGAGCAAACACGGATAGTGTAGTTCAAAGGAGGAACTGGATTTGCTTTCTCACATGCAAAATTACTGACCAAAATGGCCACTAAATAGGTGACCATTGGTTTAGTTCTATCATATACTGTTGTTGTCCAGCCAGACATGGGATAGTCGACTTTTGGAGTATCTTTTATAGGCATATTAGTGATGGTTACATTGTTGAAGTTTTGATGAATGATTGTTATGTCAAACGTAGGCCTAAACGACGGTTCGTCAAATGATGGGAATGCCTTTCTGGCCGAAGTCGACTGGAACTGCGAGGCGGCAATACCTATGGTTTTGCCGTCTGATTCGTAAAAACTTCGGTAAAGTCCGGAAAGTCCGCCCAATTCGAGGTTTGAATTGTACTCAAATGTCAACTGATATTTAGCTTCTCTAGACTTCTGTTTTAATTGGATGACAAAGAACTGGAGCGGAGAGTATCGAAATGTCTGTTTTATGTCCAGTCCATTGAGTTTACTGTTTTTTGGCGTCAATTGTGTTGACATGAGTTGCCGTAATATTGAGTATATTCGCCGCGTGAACAATGAAATACTCAATTTCTTTGTTGTTTTTGATATCTACATCAATATTAACGCTTCCATTGAAAACATTGGTTTCGGTGTCCACTTGTAAGTTAAGATAATAGTGTTTGGGAACGACATCTCTATTTAAACGAAACACAATCCACGGACAAACTTCTTTGGGACAAAAGTTAGTCAACCATTCAGTGACAATGTCTTTATAACTATCTATCCATTTAATATTAGTATCCAAAACTTCTAATGCTTTTTCTCTGTCCAGTTTGCCGGCACCTGAGTTGGGATACTGTTTGAACAGTTCCAACACCTGTTCCTTTTGGTGCTGTTCTGTGAATTGAGTGCTTATTGTATAGACAATGCGTCCAAGATTTGAGTTATTTATTGTGAATCTATGAACAAAATTAATTGTTTTAAAATATATTAATTAATTATTCAAATAATCCAAATCTACGTACCGTTTCTCAATTTCCTGGTATTTATCTCTGAAGTAATCCCAAACCATTAGACAACCGGTACGACTGTTAAGTGCTATATTAGTAAGGAATGTGAAGAAGTCGTGTTTACGAACAAAAGTCTCATCCAATGCACTGTCCAATAGTCTGTATAAAACATTGACAACAATTATGTACTATAAATATAAGCAAATTATAACAATTATATGGTTTTACTGTTTAATAAGTTGGATGTCAACTGTTGATGTCAGCCCCTGTAGATAAAGTAGTCTCTCTTGAGGTGACTTACTGGTCATATATTTGTTCTTCAAAAAATCAAAATTACTTTTATCAGTGCTTTGTCTGATACCGTACTTTAAAACCAGAGACAAAAGGTTTGGTTCAATTGGCTGATCCAATAGCCAACCGGCAAACTTTTCAGATGCAGTCTTAAGGCAATCGGCCAATTGATAGCCACAAGCCATGTCTATTACAACTGTCCTTAATCTGCGTGTCTGTGCATCACCTACCGAGTCATCCCAACCAAAATCCTTGTAGTGTTTGCCAATTAAATCATTTATATAATAATTGAATGCAATCTCTGTGTCCGTATAGATCAATGTCTTGATGTACGCAAACATTGTCTGAGCTGTTGTCCACGGAATCAGTGATGTCTCGTATTTAAGAAATTTAGACAAATCCAGTGCTATATTATAGTCAAGACGTCCACTACGAGCCAAATAGAATGCATCGTTGATTAGTTCCGATTTGTCCACTGATGACAACTTTTTGCGGACATCACTTGTTTCTGTAGATAACTCTTTGGCCCAGTTTTTCCAGTCATCGCTCGGATAGTTAACTATATAAAGACCTGTTTGGTCGACATTAAACTTGATAAACTTGGCACTAGTTTTAAGCTCAAGTGACCGTTCCTTGTCCTCTAACCACTCGTTATAAACATTTTTATCTGCCGGTGCCTTATATGTAATTGGGATCTTCCAGACATAACTGTAATTCAAATACAGTATAGTGTAAACAATATGTTTTGAAAATAAACCACAAAAAAACAATTACTCTGTTTTTGACTCTTTTGTGTCTTTGAGAAACAATTCTTGTTTTATTTTGATCTTTTTGGCTGAAGTATTATCGCGAGAGATGGTTACCACTGGATAGCCTTTTCTTGTGACCCAAGTGTCCATTATTTGGGAAACATTTCGTTTCTAAAAATTGAAAAATTGATTAAATTTTCTGTTTAATAAAGTTATCTAATTTACCTCTGGATTTGCAGCTGTCAATTCCTCCCACAGTTCACCAGTAAGTGTATTGGTATATTTGTATTTGATCAGATAGTTTTTAATACCGGAGCGGAAGTAGTCCTCACCTAAGGCCGACTCTAACATTCTTAAGATTGAAGCTCCCTTTAAAAGTTTATATAAAAAAACAAATTTTATTATTAGAAAAGTGACATAAAATAAAATTATACGGTATTTAAAATTTAGACATACCTTTCCATAAGTGATGGCATCAAATACAGATGAGATATCGTCGGCATTTTGTACGGATGCCAGTATTGGATGAGTATTAGGAGTGGAGTCGGCCTCAAAAACTCGAGCCAACTCATCCAATACAAAGATATCGTCCTGTATTTGAACATTAGTTGATAAATAAATTGATAAAACAATAAAAACAATTAATATCTTACATAATGCCAGTCTTTCTCGACCTGACCCACGGCTTTATAAGACATAAACGTTGCGAAACCTTCATTGAGCCACAAGTCATCCCACCATTTAGTGGTCACCAGATTACCGAACCACTTGATATTTTTTAAATATAAAAATACATTTTTATTTTAATAATTATAGTATAAATTTATGTAACATTTTTAAAAACCAAAGTTAGCTATCAAAACATATTTTTATTATTTATTTTTAATATTTTAAAAATAATTTTGCTATTAACTATATTTCTATGTTTAGGGTTATATTATAATAACTATATTTATAAATTTATTATTATTTAGTTTTTAAAAACAAAATTATCAATGATTTGCTTACCATATGTGCCAATTCGTGAGCAATAATCATACAAATTCTCATCTGATCTTTAGTTGTCGACTCTTTTTCATCATAAAACAGATAAACCTCTCTATAAGTGACTAATCCCCAGTTTTCCATAGCACCGGCACTAAAATCTGGTATAGCTATATTGTCCAGTTTAGGTAAAGGGTATTGTATATCAAAGTATTGTTTTTCATAAAATTTCAAAATTTCTGGTGTTTTAATTTTTGCGTAATCAAGTTTATCCTTATTTCCCGGTGCACCGCATACCTGAACACGAATGTCACTATTGCTTGTAATGCATTCAAACTCGCTGACTACCAGTGCAACTAAATAAGTGACCATTTTTACCGATTTATCAAATTTGGTCACAGCTTTATCGCCATTAATAGTGGTTTGGCCGGGCATATTAGACAGGGCCATGTAGTTTTTATTGTGATTTACTGTTATCTCAAATGTTGATTTGAATTGTGGTTCATCAAAACAGGGGAACGCCTGTCGAGCGTATGTCGACTGGAACTGAGTTGTGGCCAATTTCTTTTGCTGATTAGTAGTGTCAGTATACAAACTCTTGTAAAGTCCGTATAGTCCAGTGCTTAGATTACCTTTGAACTCTAGTAGTAGACTATAGACACCCGGTCTTCTCGTTGAATCGATAGGTATGATCCAGAAGTCATTGGGTTTGTATTCAAACGAAATGCTATTTTTATTTAATTGATTACTTTTTGATGTGACCCCACTAACAGCACCGGTATATACTTCAGATTTTGTAATATTCAGTCCTTTTGAGTGCAATATAAATTTGTTGATTGATTTGTTGACGTCGACCACTATCTGGACAGTGCCACTGAATGTGTCGCTAATAAGATCTATGTCCCAGTTTAGTTTATAAGCAGAAGGCACCACCTTATCATCTAATCTCCAGTTAAGCCACGGATTAGCTAATTGTGTACTATTGTCGATACATTCAACTAAATGACTTTCATATGTCTTAAGCCAATCTAAATTATTTTTAACTCTTTCGATAGACTGTTCTCTGGCTTTTTGTGTGGCGCCGGCGTCRGGATATTTAGCAAAAAAGTCATACATTTCTTGTAACTGAATCTGAGTACTGAAACCACTGCATACCGACAATATGTATGTTCCGAGTCGACGATCGTTAAGCTTAAACCTGGACACCAAATACTCCCAGTTCTCTCTCATATAATTCCAGACCAATTGTTGGCCAACACTATTGGCGGCAATACTTTGTTGAATAGCGAAGAAATCCTGATCATTGGATGAATCATTGCTGTACGCAATCAGCTTAGAAAGTGACTGTCCGTTTTGGACATTTGTCAGTGCACTCAACAGTTTGCTTCGTTCGCTGGCAATGGTCTCTGTTCGCCATAAGCTAAACACCTGATCCCAGTCTTCATGATTGTTGCTTTGCTGCAAACCATACTTATAGCCGTATTCACGAATATCGGCAGCAATTTGTTGGCCATTATTTAAAAAGTCGTGAAAGAGGTTCGAAGCCTCTGCAAGACATTCCTGATTACCGCTAATACACGACAACGATATTATCTGACGTCTCAATAATCTATTAAATTAATTACATTTGCAATTATTAATTTTTAATTTTTAAAAATAAAATTAATGTTATTAATCACATATAYAATAGGCTAATATAGTGTTCAAATTAAAAATATTATGTCAATTAATAATTCAATATTAATCTACTGTATATAAAAATATTAATAAAAACATTAAATTTAATGTGCATTTTTTGACATATMTAWATTTASACATATATATATTTAATTATAAATTACTGAAACTAGATTTTTCAAGATAATAATTAAACTAATTTCTACTGTTATTGTATTATTGTCTASRTATATATATATAATATAAATAAGAAAATAATAGCAAATATGACTTATCATTATAACAGCAATAATAATAGCAATTATMATATGACTTAATAATTTGAATCATATAATTACTTATATTATGTAATATTGTACATTCATTGGTATAAATRATTTATTTCATATATTTTCTAACTTATAACAATCCAAAGGAATTAATTAATTTTAATTGACATAAAAAAATTTAGTAAATTCCGCATAAAATATATTATCTAAATAACTAATTTAATAATTAGATAAAATAACAATAACTTAATATTATATTAATAACTATAACTTACTTTTGTTGAAAATTTTGTTCAYTATTTCTAACATTTGATTGCCAACCGAGCGATGAGTATATTTTTTCAGTGGATTCCTTCATATATTGTTTTATCGATAATCCGCCGACAGTTGAGCTCAGTTTGCTTTTTAATCGGCTGAGCGCCGAGTTTGCGACCGTCCATGGGATCAGACTGTCCTCATTGCGTATATAGCTAATCAAMTCGAGAAACAAATCATAAGTAATGATYCCGCTTTCGGCAAGCATTGAGGCATCAAATATAAGGTTTGCCCGATTTGTTGGCGACAGTGCCTCGCGATTGTTCTTCAATAATGTGGCCAACATTTTCCAATCTCTTTCATCATAATTAACAATATAGTAACCATATTGTTGATCATTTAATTTAATCCACGATTCAATTGATATCTCTCTATCCAATGTTATATTTTGTTCATTTTGTTTCATTAGTAACGAACTGCTTATGCCATCACCTGAACTGTATGTTACATATATTTGCCACGGATTTGATTCGTCTTTAATCTTAAGTTTTTGTTTGTTTGAGTCTAACAGAAATGTTTGTTGTTTGAGCTCCAGTAGGTTTGGTGATAGTCTCTTAACGTTAATCACTGGATATCCTTTAACTGTTGTCCACTTATTCATAAAATCGGTTACACTTGTGATGAGTCCTGGTTTCTGCAAAAATATTATTATATATTAGTTTATAACTATTGAATATTAAAAAAATTTGATCAAAAACCTTATCGACCACTGTTTGTATGGCATCCCATAAGTTTTGTGTTTTTGCATTATCATAAATATTYAATTTAATATATTCAATCACACCTTCCCTAAAGGTATCGGTACCTATAGAGTGCTCAAGCATTCTCAGAACAGCTGATCCCTTATTATAACTAATGGAGTCAAATATCTCTGTAATTTGATCGGGATTTGTCACCGACTGTATGATGGGATGAGAGCTGTCCAGTGCATCGGTTCGCATAACTCCGTGCAGATCATCGGTCAGAAAAAATCATTTATATGCCAATCGGGATGAGTATCATTGACTCCTCGATATTCAATATATGAAGCAAAACCCTCGTTAAGCCACAAGTCATCCCACCATTTCATTGTCACTAAGTTTCCGAACCACTAATAATATTTATATTTATATATAATTATATTATAAATCAAAATCTTATTTGTTTATAAAAACTAATAGTAAATAATTTTAAAATAAAAATATCACACCATATGTGCCAATTCGTGTCCTATAACTGCGGCCACACTTTTTTGATCCTGAGTGCTGGACTTAGTTGTGTCATAAAGCAACCTGTCCTCTCTAAATGTAATAATACCCCAATTTTCCATAGCACCCGATACAAACACTGGCAGTGCTACTAAATCTATTTATTAAAAAATTATTATTTATTAAAAATATTAAATAAAGTGTCAAATGTTTTTATTTCAAATTTATAGTCTTTATTACCTAATTTTTCCATAGGATAGTCAATTTGAAAATATTTTTCATAGTATTCAAGTATATTTATAGCAGTATCCAGGGCATATTTGGTGTTTTCTAATTGTTCAGGTTGGCTAAATACACGAACCTAAAAGTAATTAATAAATAACAAAAATATTTTTAGTAATTAATTTCTAACAGTAATATAGTATTATTATCTAACTTTTAAACTAATAATAATAATAATAATAATAATAATAATATCTAATTATTAATTGTTAACCTGTTTGCCTCTTTGTGTTGAACTTTTAGTGTGTTYAAAGTCACTGATAACATAGGCCACCAAATAAGTGGACATTTTGACAGTTTTGTTGAATACTGTTTTATATTTGTTGCTRTCATAGGATAACTTATCAATTTGCTGACCATTGGATATAGCAGTTARTTTTTTGTCATGTATTATTGATATACTATAAGTGGCCTTAAAGTTTGGTTCATCAAAACAGGGAAACGCCTGTCTAGCATAGGTGGGCTCAAATTTTGTAGCGTAAAATTGTCTATAAAACATATATAAAACTTGTAAAATTAATAAATACAATTTATRTAGATGAATATAAATCTTAAAATAATTTCATTTTACACTAAATAGGTTATTACATAACATTATATAATATTAATTACATTGTGTTAATTATATTATAAGAATATTCTTATATTAAATAAATTTAATTAAATAGTTATAATGTTTGTTATACTGCAAAAAAATTATTGGAATAGCAAGTAATTAGTTTATTAAATATAACAAGCGTTTGTTTGCTGTAAATTAAATAATCCACTTAATCAATTAGCTTAGATAATTAGCTATAGCCTAACATAATTTAATTATTTACTAATAAAACAAATTGTAAGTACAGTACAGTATAATGCTATGTATTATAGTATATATGATGTTCACCTTTTTTGGTTATTACTATCGGTGTAATTGCTTTTATGAAATCCAATTAACTTTCCGACGAGTGAACCGCTAAATGACATCGTAATGATATATTGACCATCTTTGGCCAGTTGTCTGTCCAATTGAATGGTATGATACTGTCTATTCTCATCGTAAACTACACTCTTAACAGTTAGTTGATCGTTATTACTGTCGACTAGTTTATCAACTTTAACCTCTAACTTATAGGAGTGTATTTTAATGACATTGGTGGCCACATCGACCTTCAATGAGATGCTAACTGTGCCATTGAACCGGTCCGGCTCGTGGTCGGGCTCTACCATCAACTCATAATGTGTTGGTTTTACTGCATTTGGCAACAATAGGTTTGGATCATCAGTTGGTGTGGGCGTTGATGTGGGCGATGGTGTGGTAGTCTCTACACTCGACTCTATTATATAATTGTTTAGAAAACAAATTATATACTAATTATTATGTATGATGTATATGGACTTATGTAGCACTTATATGTGTAACATATATAATAAAAAAGTTTTACCGTAAGTATAATTTTGGAAATATATATATATATWTTTCATTGTTTGTACTCAATATGAAAATAATTTCATAAAACATAATTATCATTTTGTTTTTATAAATGAGATTAAGAGATTTTTTAAATAAAAAAATATGATTATGTGCTAAATATGTTGGTGACAGTACCTGTTGATGTCGATAGTTTAGGTTTGGTGGTAACGATTACATTAAACACTGATATGATTCACCACAAAAAACATACAAAAGTTAAAGCAATAGTAAACATACAAAAATTAAAACAAACATAAAATAAATTTTTTTAAATATTTAAAATTGTAATTTTTATGTACAAAATTTATAAAATTTGCAAACATAAATAATAAATCGATCAACATAAAAGATATTWGTTTCAATATAAAAAACTATAGAAAAATTAAATTTATAAATAAATAATATATAACAATAAATCTTAATTTTTRTARTAATTAATTTTTTTTAAAATAAATAGTATTACATACCATTGTCATCGTTTTTAGTTTTATTTCTTTCAACTAAAAAAGCGACAAAAAATCCAATGGTTAGGGCCAACAATATTATAATTGTTATTATATAACAAATGGTACACTTTTTGCTTGATTTTAATTTTCCCATTTTTATAATTTATTGGGACGTATGTGTGGCATATAAAACCACATAAATAATCTATAAATTATAATCTTTAGCACTTTTTGTTTATACAAAAATATATATATATATATACGGTATATGTATGCTTAATTTTAAATGTCTATTTACATAACATTAGCTTAATTGGAATAATTGTAAACTTTGGCGGTTTTGTTGTGTTTAATAATGAAAAATTGATGTTATTTTAAATGTGATATTATAATAAATTACATTAAATAAAATATAATATTATTTATATACATTAAACTTGATAATTATATATATATTTAAAAAATAMTATAAAATTATTAATAACAACTTTATGTAGTACACTTAAAAATTATATAAACAATAATTAATTATTAATTTTTTTAAAAAACAATAATAGTAATAATGACTATATTTGCAAAAATCACAATTTTTTATATATAAAAAATTTTACCTAAATAAATTTACAAGATAAATATATTTATCTATACAGGTATAAACTAATATAAACTAATATAATCTTTGATAATTATATAATTTCACTGTAATAAAAATCACACAACTTTTTTTAGTGCTATCATGAAAAGCACAGTTAGTTTATTAATAAGATGTTAGTTTAAGACATAGTTTTAAGTAAAATACATATTGTTGTACATATTGTTCACAAAAAAACAATAATTGTTATCAATGTATTCTAAAAATTAAAAGTCATCGATGAAAATTAATTTTTTACAAAAATGACAAATTTATATATATTTTTTAAAAAGTTTATGCCATATCAAGAGGCATATAATTGTCTCACATTTTATTTATTAATTATCATTTTTATAATCACATTTTTATAATTTACATTTAATTTTTTACTGACACAATAAACATTTTATAACTATAATATTATTAATATTGTCTTTTTCATTAATTATTATATTATTAATGATATTATTTAACAAATATTTGATGAGATTTATTGTACATTATATACAGTATGCTATCAATATGCGAAAGTACTGTATATTAAGCACTATTACTCTATAAGAAATTTAGGCCAAACTGTACCGGAGTGTTGAGTTTTACAGCACTTTCAGACTACTCTCCATGACATCCCAATCCCTCTATGCTATGTATCATAATGTATGTGCATTTGTATGTAAGTGTGTGTATGTATGTATGTGTGTGTGTGTGTGTGTGTGTGTGTGTGTGTGTGTGTGTGTGTGTGTGTGTGTGTGTGTGTGTGTGTGTGTGTGTGTGTGTGTGTGTGTSTGTTCTTACAATTTTGACAGWCAATTYTACTCCTGGTTTTATTATGTATATCTATTAATACAATTAAAATATTTCAGTATTTTTAATCACAATTTATTGCCCCAATCTATTAAAAAAATGATAATRTTTAATTTTTAAGTATACAATTTTAGTATTATATTTACTTCAAAAGCCGTTAAACGAAATTGTTATTATAATTACAATATAAAACAATTATTTTTTATTAATCTACCAAATAATGAGTGCATTTAGTATTAAAAAATAATTTCACTTTAATTGTACTTTTAGTTTAACAACGAAAAGATGAGCACAAAGTTTGTTTAGAGATAACATTATAGAAAACAAAACTTTCAATTGTATGAAAAATATAGTAAAAATAAAGGACATACAATTAAATTAGTGGTTTTTAGTCTTTTTTAATTGTTATGTATTTACCTAATTATATATAAAATTAATTTTCATTTCTATAATTTTCAAAGTCAACTTTAATTGTGRATTAGTTTTATACATAAAATTTTAATAATATATTAAATGTACAAAAAATACATTATGTTTATAAAACTATTACTCAGTAGTCATTAATTAGTTAGTGCTTATAAAAAATGCTTTCATATATAATTCAATATCACTAGAATACTAATAACTTTTTATTTTAATTAGTTAGCAGTAATTAAATTAAATTATTTTTTATAAATTCAAATAAAATTATTATATGATGATTAAATTAGTTGATCAAACTATTATTTGATAAAATTAAAAATCAATTAATTAATTATTTTATTATAATTATAGATATTTAATACACTAAACATCTATTAATAAAAAAATTAAACTAAATAATATAATTTAAATATATTTTATTATATATTTATATTGGACTTATTATCAAGTATTAATATAATATAATTTTTAAAATTATAGTTTTATTGTGTTATTATTTTTACTGATAAAAATTGCTATTAATATGACATTTATTATAATTATAAAACAAACTTATCATCAAAACAGTGGCACAAAATTATATTATTATTTTATTATGTTTAAATTATCAGTTTTTTATAAATATTAAACAAAATAATATATTTTTATTTAATATTATAAAAATCATAAACTATATTAATAAAACAATAATATTAACAAACATTTAAATATTAGTTATTTTTAATTAGTTATTATAATTATTAATAGTAATTTTAATTTTATTAAATCACGATTTGCAATTTATATTTTTTACAATTACAATATGGCACTGATTTTACAAAGATCATGATATGTCATTTTTAATTTTATATAGAAATTTTACAAATTAAAATATTAATATTTAAAAATAAAATAATTAATTTACATCACATAATTAAGTTTAGGTAATAACAAAAWATTTAAATAAGAATATTTTAATATTATAATAATATTTTTGCAAAATTATAAACTTACAATAACTACAACATATACTAAACTTGTTTTATGCTTTTAATTTAATTTAATAATAAAGTTTTAGCAAAATTCATACCCGTTTCGTCACAACACTTGAATTAACATAATAAGAGAGTTGTAATTCAATGAACACATACTTTGTGACAATCAAATGAGTTAATACTAAACTTTTAAAAATAAAAGTTTCATCAAAATTGGTTTTTTACTATTTTTTAAATATCTAATTAAATTTGAAAGATAAGAGGCTACTCTCTCTCTCTCTCTCTCTCTCTCTCTCTCTCTCTCTCTCTCACTCACTCACTCACTCACTCACTCACTCACTCACTCACTCACTCACTCACTCACTCACTCACTCACTCACTCACTCACTCACTCACTCACTCACTCACTCACTCACTCACTCACTCATATTAATAGACTAAATACAAATTCAATTTCTATGATCATAAATTGTTTCAATTATAAACATCTCATTATTAATTTTGACAACATTTTAACAATGTTTATGTCAAAAAATATAGTGTCATATTTTTATTAATTATTTTTAATAAATACAGTATCAGTGCTATTGTAGAGTACATAATAGCAATGTGTRTGTAATTCAAATGTACAGATTTGACATTTTTGTAATCTGCATATAATTGGCATTAATTTTATGCTATGATTTGTATGTTAGCCTAAAGTCAACTGTCAAACAAAACATCACTCACTTAACCTTTTTATCTTTATATGGCAGTGAAATTCATAGCTATTATTTAATAATTTTGTTAAAATGCCGTATAAATGATATTAATTTTTTTAAATTATTTATTTTCAACTTTGGTTGACTATATATTATATTCATAAAAAATTTACAACATATAATACACAAGCATATCACTATTGTATTATTTATTATATATTTTTAAATTATTGTATTATTTTTAAAAATTAATTATTTATTCAATGTGGATTCTGTTTTTTTTTAATTTTTTTTTKTTTTTTTTTTGTTTTCATTATTACAATAGTGTGGAAATTTTTAACCAACATTTTTAATTACTTGTATTCATATTGTTTTAAATATATTATTAAATGTTTTTATTTTTAAAAATGAGTTGTCCCTCATATATTGTTTGTATTTATCAAAATATTAATAAAATATTGTCAAATAATACTCTCTAATTTATTTTTCTTTTAAATATTTAAAATAACTTGCAATTATATTATAATTATTTTTAAAATAAAATTTTTATAATAAATTAGGTTTATCTGACAATAAAATTTAATATTATATAATTGCATTGATTGTAGACAAAAAAAAACAAATATTTTATATTTTGTATAATATAATCACATATTTCAAACCCATTAGTTTATAAATACATATCAACACCAATTATTAATTTTAAAAAATAAAATTTATAATTATTTTTATTTACAATGTTATATTTTAAATTTAAAATCAAGTTTCACAAAAAATTAATTACATTAAAAAAATAATTTTGGCACAAAACACAATAAAATTAATTCATTATACATTAATTTTAATGATTTATATGATTAATAAAATCACTTTTCGGATTCTATTATATTGTATTAAATTATAAAATATATTATAAAGTATCATAGTTTGCATAATACATACTATTCATAATATACTAAACTGTATATATAATGTAATTATTGCCAAATTGTTAATTAAATAATTAATACAATTTATAACAAAAGTATAACATTTTAGAAAAATGTGATTAATTTCTATCAAAATAATTTTTAAATAATATCAAATACTATTATAATTTTTTTTAATCAGTTTAGTTTATTAAGGAATTTTATTATTTTTGGCTAATAATTAYATTTTAATAATTAACTTAATTTAAAAAACAAAAATTTGCATTATTATCAAAACTTTTTCTTTATTATCATATTGATTAAAAATCACAATAATCTACACACAAAAAAACTAAATAATTTATCATGAATATTTCATTAGTTTAATGCCCATATAAAGCTATATTAATGTCATCGAAATGCTTTCATATTATATAAAGTTATATAAAAATTAAATATTATAAGTAATTTACATAATTAACAATTTGGTTTTTCATACTATTACTACTATATGTTAAATAATTGTCTCRRATWTAATAAATATAATATATTGTTAAATATATATACATATATATATATATATATAAACCAGTTTATCAAATGAAGCAATTTATTATGTAAAATCATTTATTAAATTATATAATAATCAAATCACTATACAGTCTAATAATAATATAAATATATAATTTAATTATACAATTATACATGTACAATTGACTACTGTATATACAGTACAATACCATAGTTGTATTGCCATCAATTGGTTGCTAAGAGCACTATAAAATAATAATATAAACTTCAAGGACTACTCTAATACTATTGGTTTGAGTTAAAGCATAACAATGTATATTACAATTTGTCAAAACATAAAATAGTTATTTGTTTGTTCTATATAATAGTGTAATTAGTTATACGTCCTTAACATTTAGTATAATGACTCATATGTTATGTTGAATGAGTGAATGCAATACAATGTTATGTAAAGTAATATACAGTATATTTAAAGCCATTTATGAAAACATTTAATGAATTGACGGTTCATTTATTGTTTATATTTGACTCAAACTGATTGTCATAACAAACCCAATGGTCATCACAACTGATATCAATAACAACGACAACAATAGACTATAAATTGTTATTTAATTGTTATTATAATTGACTGTAAATTATATGACAAGTGATGGGTTTGTTCGGCAAAGACCCGTCAAAGTCACCGAAAGAACAGGTATTGTGTTTGCAAAAGAAATAATACTAATTATTATAATTATTATTAATAATTGATGGTTAGGTACGCGAGTGGACATCGAAGTTACGTAAACAACAGTTCCTATTAGACCGACAGATACGGGGAATACAGCGGGAAGAAGAAAAGGTCAAACTCGAGCTCAAGAAAGCGGCCAAAAGGGGTGACAAAGACGTGTGTCTAGTATTGGCCAAAGAGATTGTCAACTCGAGAAAAGCGGTAATTAATGTCAATTCATTCATTCTCACTGTCTTTTATTGGATCCAATTGTGATCTTTTTCATTATGAATAAATTTCCGATTACCGGTATTTGTCTTTTTTTAATCATATGATATATCCTATCCTATGTCTGCCAATTAATCTACAGATCAATCGCATTCACACATCGAAAGCACAGCTAAACTCAGTGATGATGAATATGACACAACAGTTGTCGACATTACGAGTGGCCAACGCCATGGAAAAGTCGGGAGCAGTCATGAAATCGATGCAACAATTGGTAAGAGTTCAGGAAATATCACATGTCATGCAAGAGATGTCGCGTGAAATGATGAAAGCAGGCATTATTGAAGAGATGTTAGAAGAGACACTCGATGACCAGTTAGAGAGAGACGACAACCTTGAAGAGGAGGCACAAAAAGAAGTGGACAAAGTGTTGTGGGATTTGACAGCGGGTCAGTTGGGTGGAGCACCTGCTGCTGTATCCGACACATTACCTACAATTGGAGAGCCATCTACCAAAGTCCAGGCATCATCTGTATCCCCATTGGCCGATGATGACGACGATATCAGCGAAATGCAACAGAGATTGCAAGCTCTCAGGAGTTAGAAGTGAAATCATCTGATTGTTGGCACCTAATTGTTACCATCATTTGCATCGTTATATTTATAAACAGATTTTTTAAAGACATTATTGATATTACACTATAAAATCGGTATTTTGTTAAATGATTTATTATGTATTCTTTGAAGAAAATCTAGCTTTTGTTAAATTATTAGTTAAATTTTATTTAACTATTTGTTTTATATGTTTAATTAGCTAATTATTTTGTTATGCACTTAAAGTAATCTTCTTATTTAAATATTATCAAAAAAGTAATGTTAATTAATTCATTAGCAATTAACTATAATTTATTAATGCTATATAATTTATGTTGACGACTAACAATTAAATTAATGAAATTTATTTAATAATAATTAAAAAAATGATTAGCATTAATATAACTATAAAATATCTATTTTTATAATATGACAAAATATATTTATTAAGAATTTAAACGATTATCTGCTAATTAAATATCAACATATTTTTTGAAATTAATATTTGGTTTATTTATTATTACCGGTATATTATTTATTTAGTTATTATTGTATAATTTTCAAATTATTTTAGTAATAGCTATAGTCTATAGTATATAAGCTGTAAATTAAATTAAATAGTAATGCTAATATTTATATAATATAATAACTTATTGCTTACTAAACAAATTATGTAAATAACCAAAAATACAATATTATTTATTTTTATTAATTTAGTATATATTATAAAAATAAAAAATATTAATACCAGTATTTATAATATCGTATTTTAATAAACAATACATTATATATTGTTTATATTTTATATTTATGTTAAATTTTTTTATTTTATAAAATTAATATATATCTATAAATTTTTATTTTATTAACTTAATTAACTTAAAAAAATATTTATAAATTTATAAAACAAAATAGTTCACATAATAATTAGTTATGTTTTATAATAAAAACATTTATTGCATGTATGTGTTATATTGTTTTTTATTAATGTTGAGTAATTTTAAAATATGATGTTTATAAAAGTTTAACAACAAAAATGTTTGTAAGTATATCATTATAAAGTTATATTAATATTTAGTATAAATGAGTATTGCCTATAAAAGTTGGTACCTGTCTTAATTAATAAATATATTTTCAATAATAACAAAGTGACTCACTAAAAAAAGTAATATCTAATTATAAATATTAAATATATTGATTGAAAATAGATTTAAACATAATAGTTGTCAATAATAATCTCATATTAAATAATCCAAAACATGTTTAAATAGATTATTAGTTTTCATGTTTTAAAATATTAGTGATAATAATTATTATAGAAAAAGACATATTTTTAATTTCAATTAAATATTGTAAAAATTGTAAACATATTAACAATTATTGTAAATAACTAAGAAATGTCATATTTATGTGTAAACCAATTTGAAGATATGGACAATCAGTAATGGTATACAAAAGACGGCAACACCGCCGACCCATTCGTACATTGAATGAACCAAACCTCGGATTTCACGTTTGTCTTCGAGTTTAGCACTTCGTTGTTGTTTGCGTTCAATCACTTCTCTGGAAACCACTTTCCTATCGTAAGCCCAACCAATCATTGCAAAAAAGTCGATGAAAGCTGTGGCCGGATTGAACACATCGAAAGCACCCAATTCTGAGGCCGAGTAGTCCCACGGAAATCTAATATCAATTTTAATACTAGTAATATTAATCTAGAAATCTTAAACTAATAATTTAATTTAATATTCAATACTATTTTTCACAATTTAGAAACTATTATGAAATTTTCATAAATTTCTTACGTGTGATGATAGTTATGAAAGCCTTCGCCCATAAGCAGATGGCGTACGGTTGCCTCTCGGGCCTCAATGTTTTTGTCATAGGGTCGACTGCCCCACATATGGGCAGCACTGTTGACTAACCAGGTTAGGTTAAGAGTGAGACAATGTCGGAACATTACACACACAAACCAGGAGTTCCACAGACTTTCCGACCATAACATGTGTGGAATTACCGTTGGTATGACACCCCATATGAGCAACAGTAATGGTATGTAAAATTTGCGCTGAAATCTGACAACTGGATCTGCCATTAAGTCGCTTAGGTCTACATTTTTGCCTCTATTTTTTATGTCCGGATGTTTCTTAACCAATAGCCAGCCCACGTGCGAGAAAAAGAAACCGCGTTTAGCGTTATGCGGATCGGCATTAGTTTCCGTATACTTGTGGTGCACCCGATGGTCGCGACACCATTCATATATGTCATTTTGAAAGGCCATAATGTGGAAATAGGCCAGAATTAAACGTAAAGGCAGTTTTGCTTTGTATGCCCGATGCGACCACAGACGGTGAGCACCGGCCTATAAATATATTAAATAATCTAATAGTTGACTAATTATATAATATATTGAATAGTATACTAGAATACTGTAATAATGTATATACTATATAGTATAGTAAGAATTTAAAAACATAATAATATTTTTATAAAAAGATTAAAAAATAGTGAAAGTTTATAAAAAATAATTTTGTTAATCAAATTATAATGCGTGATATTAATGACTTACCTGAACACCCATTGAAGACATTATGGCAATGCAGTGGACAAACACAATAGTTGTCAATTTGGCTTTAAAAATGGCAATATTGATACCATAAAGTGCTGCCATATGAAGCAATGCCATTAGTATGACATTACGCCAAACTAACTCCACTTTGTACGGTCTGTCCACTGGTTTGTTGGCTTCGGATTTGCCATTAAGTGTGTGGACATTGCTTTCAATGCAATCCTTCGACATAGTGTTGGGAGCCATAGCCCTGTTTAAAAATTATGACATAAATCATAATTAAAAATAAAATAAAAAGTTTTATAAACAACTAGAAAAAAGTTTATAATTAGCAAGTTTTTGACACCAATTATTTATTTGTGAAAAATGTTGTAAAAACACTTAGTATTACTTACACAATAAGATTAAAAGCCTTTTTATGATTATTACTACTTATTATTTATTATCAAATACGGAATAAATTTAGAAAAAAATATAAATATTTTTTAAAACAATCAATAGAAAGGGACAATCGATAAATAAAATAATAATAATAATAAATTTAGTGTAAAATTTTGATAACACACATAAAAACAATTTGATAAAACACAAAACAAACAAATTATAATTACGATTTTCAAACCCAGTGAAGCATAGTTAGCATAACAGCTAACAATTGTTTACACATTGTTAGCAATTGGAGTTTAGTTAGCAATTAGGGGGCAGTGATAGAGACAATTAGACAAACAAACATAAAACAATCACAAGTAGTGATACTTACCTTATGATTATTAAATTATAAATTAATTAATTAAATACAATAAAATATTATTATTATTTTTTAAATAAATAAATTAAGTGGACATGAATTGATGGGGTGGTGATGATATTTCATAAAAAGTTTTTATGATCTTATGCTATGGCTATCTTAAACTATAAGATTTTAGTCATTGAGAAAATATAAAATAGTCAAAAAATATTTAGATAGTGTTTAGTCTGAGTGGTATCACTCAAACACTCGCTGCAGAGGTTGCGACTGACTTTAGATAAATGACTGACTGACCGTTAAGGGAAGTCATATTTAATATGGGTGTAAATGCATTATGTTTGGATAAAGTTTATTGAATAACAATTTTTGGTATTTGGGAACACAAAATGTGAGACTTATTTTGTTTGTTTTCGGGAAGAGATACAGTTCAACATGTATATCAACTTAGAGAGAGAGAGAGAGAGAGAGAGAGAGAGAGAGAGAGAGAGAGAGAGAGAGAGAGAGAGAGAGAGAGAGAGAGAGAAAAGGCGAAAGTAGAAAGTGAGAGTCAGTATTATGAAAATTGAAGGGAAAGGGAGGAGAGAGAGAGAGTCGGGGTCTCCGGTATTCTGCCTTTTTTGTCATGAACTAGATTATCACCCAATTTAATGGGCACAACTCTATTCACTATCATACTTATACATACAAATCCAATTGGCTTTACATAATATAAAACACATGCAAACATATAAAAACATTAGCCCTCCGGTTAATAATTAGTAATTTAAATCATATACTTTTTTTGAAAACAAGTATTACTAATACATACCGTATGTTTGTGTTATATAATAACTGTTCAATAATTATTCATGCAATTAGACGTACAACTTTTACTATTGTAGGTTAATTGAAACAAAAAACAAAATTTTATGTTAATAAATTTGGTATCAAATATTAAACATAATGAGAGAGAAATAGAGTGAAAGCGAAAAAAGTTATTTTTATATAAAAATTTTGGTATTTATATATTATTTTAATTTCAATGTTAATGTTATTATCAATACTGTATATAACATTGATTTTAAAATGTAAAATATTTAATAACTTAAATTACAAAGTTATAAACTTTAATACAATATTATATATATAATTATATAATTTATTATTTATAAAAATACAATTTTAAAATATAATAATATTAGTAATGATTTATACTTACTTATTAATAGCCATTAATATTTCAATTGTTTGGCCGTCTGGATTGAAAAATTTAGTTATTGTATCTCTAATTTCAAATAAAGTTTTCATCTTTTATGTAAAACTTTTTTTCTTAAATAAATTCAATGAAATAATTATTATGATAGCGAATATTTATTTTTTTATTTTGTAAATATTATAATTATTATATTTTAAAATAAAGTTGATTTTGTTAACGATTTGCAAATAGTAGGGGAAAAACAAACAACAAAAATCATATATAAATTATTATTATAAATAACTAAACTTACGATAAATAATAAAAAATAAATATATTTTTTTAATATACAGTACAATCACAATATTTAATCATAAAAACATAATTAATTGTATTGTGGCCAACATTAACAATAAAAAATAGCAATGATAAATTTATCACGAATATGTAAACATTTTTGACAATAATAATAATAATAATGAGAAAACTTTGTTAATTTAATAAAATTTAGATGAATAGCTGTCTATTGTCATAAAATTTTTTAAAAATAAATTGTTAGTTAACTTTCTACTACATTAACAACAAGGGTTTTACAATTTTATTTAACGCATACAACTCAATAGTTAGTAAATTAAATTTTGTAATCGATGTTATTATTATTATTAATGTTGTTGTTGTTGTAGTAGTTGCTGCCAATGAACAATAAAATTAGGTAAAAGTTAAAATTTTTTATTTCTAAATTTTTAATTTTTTTACTGTAAAAAACATCATAATAAACAAGAAAAATAAAAGTAAAGTAAACCTCAAAAAAATAAATAATTGCCTCCCTCTCYCTCTCTCTCTCTCTCTCTCTCTCTCTCTCTTCTATAACTATGCAACGCACCAACACTTAGGTGTAATAATCATAAAATCTAGTGAAATGCAAATATTATGTGCCATAGTATGAAACTTTGCAAATATGTATTAAAAAGTTATAGGTAATACACACACACACATACACACACACACACACACAGTCAGTCACATGTGTTTGACTTTCAGTTTTTTGGGCAGTCATTAGTAGTTTCCGTGTTTAGGGGTCAACACTTAAGAGGAAAAATCTATTGGATCGGTGGCTCTCATTGACAACTAGATTGCAAACATTTGTTTGATAGCACTTTAAAAAATTTAAGTTGTATAGTTTAAATGATTTAAAATTACAGAAAAAATTATTAAATATTAATAAATTTAAAATTAAATTTAAAAAACTAATTAATTTTTCTAATATTAATTAAATATATTTTGAAAAATGCATATACTATTTTAAATATAGAAACTATAAGATAATAGTTAATTTTATTGTTGTTATCTATAATTAGTTGTAAACAATGTAAAATAGATGTTATCTTTAATTATTGAATATTTTTCAGGGTTTAATAATATATTTTAATTATATACTATTGTCGGATAATTATTTTGTATTTTACAGATAAAAAAATAGACAAACAATTTAATTTGTAATATATACTATTATAAGCAAATCATATGTTAACTTTGATACGTTAACTAAGATTTATTGTAATACAATCAGACTAATTATTTAACATATATTTAGGTTAATTTGTCATCTATGATAATAATTTTACTGTAACAATTGAATAATTAGTTTAGTTATTAGTTTATTGCTATAATCAATAAATATTATAATAAAAATATAGGAAATGATTTAAAAACTAAAAAATGTAAATTTTGCTTAAATAGACACACAAAACACTTTAAAGTTGAATTATTTTTAAAATTGGTTTAATAAACTTAATGAAGTATATTATAAAAGTAAAAATAAATTAAGCGTAACTTTTAACAATAGATCAAATAGACTGCTAATTATGATATTATATAAACGTTGATATTGAAATAAAACATCAAATATAACATGTATATATATAATGTTTATATATATATTAATTCGTAATAACTTGTAATCACTTTTTCACTAATATATTAACTTATGAAAAATCGATAATAAATTATAAATAAATAATAAAATTAATCAACAAATAATTGTATAAACAGAATATAATATTATATTAATATAATTAAATTTTAAAATTATTTACTTTAATTATTGAATATATTTAATTTTGATATTTARTAATCTAAATATTTTATTTTATTTAAATAATATAATTGATCTAGTTAAAATAAATAGTCACCCTAGATTAGTGTGACATAAAATAAATATTATTACTAATAATCAATATCATATATGTTAATCAAATCAGTTGTCGGAAATAAACTTAAAATTAAGAATAATATAAATTAAAGAATTATATACTAATTAATTAAAAACAATTATATGACAAAAATAAAATTAATTTTAAAAGATTTATAAAATTTTATGTCAATATTATGTTTTATATAGTATTAAGAATAAATAAAATAAATAATATTTTTATAAAAAATACTAATTTGACAATAGGTTTATAAATAAATAAATTTTTAATTTAAAATAAATCTTGTTATTGTGAATTACTATTAATAATATTGTAGTATTAGACTGTATACTAACTTATGTATTACAATACTAATATACTATTTAATGTAATATCCTATATATTACAACAACTTTTGCTATTAGGTTTACAGTTTAAAATTACATATAATTAGTTATCTCTATGATTATCTTAATATCGATAAAAGTAATTTTGAGTAAAACATTAAAAACATAGATATTGTTTTGTTTAAGATTTAATCCATTTATCACACAAAGTAATAGATTTATATAAAAACAATTTGTTAGGTTTATCTCAATTTGTGAGTTTGATTGCATTTCCTGTAATTTTTAATTGAACTCTAAACTCGTTTTTTGCTCTCTCTCTCTCTCTCTCTCTCTCTCTCTCTCTCTCTCTCTTCTCAAATTGAGACTCAATAGTAAAATTATTATTTTAATGAACAATCTGTGATTTAATTTACTTTCATTTAAATAATTTGTTTTTTTCAAAACATTATCATTTTTATTGATATTGTTTTTAAGGTCACAATTAAATCTTATAACGTGATGTGTGTTTGTGTGTATGTTTGAGATATATAATGAAACCAAATCATTAAACTTAGCATTTCTATTATCTCATTATATGTGAAACTTAAACCTGAAATACAAATTAACACAAATTGTATTTTAACTTTAAGGCATAATAATTGTTTTTAAAAAATAATTTCAATAACCTTATAACCTATGGATTTGTTGGCTTATGTTTTAATTAAAAGTTTRATAGTTTTTTATTAAAATATAATTTTACTAATTTAAATATCTCATGTATTGTTTTTTTTTGTGTATATATCATAACATATTTTCCGGTAAWTTTTTTGTTATATTGATTTAGTACAGTATGTATATTGATATATAATTTATTAAAATTATTTATAAAAAATATATAAATTATACAATTTGAATTTGATTAAAATTTGATATAATATTATATAATTTATGTAACTTTATCATTGATATTTTATTATTTTTTATTAAAGTTATTAATGCATTTTTTAAAGCTATCATAATTTATTAGTTCAAATATTTACTAAATAATTAAATATATATTTTGTTATATTATAAAAATATGTTAAAGTATTTGATATATTTGCTATTTTATAGTCAATTAAAAAATATTGTTTAATTTAATTTTGTATTATTATACATTGTATAAAAATACATAATATATTACATAATAAATTAATTTAAGCTATGTTCAATATATTGTACAATTACAGATTAAAAATTTGTAAAAATTTATTTTAAAGTTTTATTATTGTAATTTATAATTATTTGATTAAAAATAAATTTTATAAACTATATTTTGAAATTATATTTTGAATTGTTTTTCTGAAACAATACAATTAGTAATATTAATATTAATAATGAATTTATAGATTTAATTATAATATTAATTTAATGACCAAATAATACTGTATAAGAATGGCCTGATTTATTGCTTCCCTATCGTCTCCTAACCTAATGATTATTGCTATCATATAAAACAGTAAATCTGGGAACTGTTGGCTTTACAATCTATACAATTATGATGAGCGCCGGGAGCTTAACGTAAACTTGAACTCAAATGTGTGTCAAACAAATCTGGAGTTATGAGTTCATATGAATATTTAAATATTTTATGTTTATATATATATTACTTTTATTTTCAATTTGGCATTTATTATTATTATTTGAAATTAAATTCAATCAAATTTGTAAAAAATTAAAAACATTAATTATTGTCTTCTTTAAGATAAAGTATTAATTAATAAAAAATATTTACATAGTATTGATAAATGTTTGTTATTTATAGAATTTATAAATATTATTTTCAAACATCAATATTAAAATACTATAGTAAATCGTAATTAAATATTATTTATGAAAATGAATTTAAACTTTTATTACTTGTTTAAATCTAATTTTTAAAATTTTTTAATTAAAAAATAATTATTTAATTATAAATTATTTAGACATTAATTATAATAATAGTCACTGAATAAATATAAATTATATTATTTTTAATGCTTGTTGTTTAATAAACTTCAAAAATATTTTTTTTAATCATAATTGTTTATATTGATGGAATAATAAATAATTTATTTATATTAATTTATTAATAAATTAATAAAAGTATTTATATAAAGTTTTTAAAAATATCATATAAAATATTCATAGTATACCGATAAATATGAATTTCGAGATTGAATTAATTAAATTATATATAAATGCATTGAAAAAATATTTTGTTATTAATAAATATGTCTATAAATTAGATTAAATAAACATAAATAAGTCATTCATAGCATTCAAATAGAGGGACAGGATTTAAACCGGTGGCAAAAAGTTAAATATCTCATTGGATGCGCTCAACGGTGACTTTGCTATCTTATTGATCCTAACTGTAGTGAACACCTCTTTGTATCGATTGATAAGATTATCACATCTATCGCTATTTTCTTGATAATCGCCGCAAAGATATTGTATGATATCGTACATTGAATCGTTGACATAGCCCTCCAGCTCTCTCACTGATTTACTATTGCATGGTTCAGCACCGTTGGATTTAGACCAGGCATCCACTGAACAGTCGTGAAATCGATGGTATGCACTATTAATATTTATTTTCAGATATAAAGATAAAATTATTAAAAATCATTACAAAAATAAAAGCATAAATCTCAAAAAAAAATTCTTTGTTAAATAGGACAGGTATGCCCTCTATCATACCAGCAAATCAATGGCAATAAGTGCTTATCATTTTTGATGATAGTTCCCTTTGCTTTATTCACTTGTTGTGTATCAATAATATACTTATTCCAGCACTTAATAGTGTCGTCTTTCAAAGAGTTGGCACACTTTCCTGCTTTGATAAACACGGCACGGGATGTCTCGGATCGACATCTCTTATTCATAACCTTTTTCATTGAAAACATCAATAGATTGGTTACGTGATGACTCATCTCCTCTTTTCTGTTGATGAGACAGGTTTTAGTGTAGTTTTTACCCCAAGATATCATAACACTGTCGGCTCTGTTATTGTAAATAAATTAATAATTATTAAAAAATATATTTTTAGTAATCAAAATTATAATAAATTCAATTGTATATCATAAGTTAGAATTTGCTATAAATACAATTAGATTATTTTTAAATATAACATTTTAAAAATATTAATAGTAATATAATTGTTATATATTAAATAAAGTATAATGTATTTTAATACACTAATAACAAAATGTAGATTTTAAACTTTATTAATTTAATTCAATAAACTGTAAATAAATTACTATCATTGTATGCTTTAGTTATTTAATAATTTACAGAATTTTTTTGAAGTATTTACTATACACTGTATATATTATAATATTGTTCATATAAATACGGAATTATAATTATTTTTTCTAATGTTAAATAATTTTTTAAATAATATATTCATGATAATAGATATGTATTATTTTATTATTATCTAATTAATAATTATTAACTAATTATTAATGTAATAAAATTGAAAACTTACTGGCAATGAGCCATAACATCCTTTTCATTGGGCAAATTTCTGTTGGGATCACCAAATGTTGTCAATTTTAATACATTATCATCGAGTTTGTCAATAGACTGTTGATTGCAAGGTATTTCAGCGCATTGTGATTGTAATATTAATGTCACAAACAATAGCAATGTAATTAATAATAACATTTTAAGCTATAATTTATAGTTATTTTTCCCTTAAAATTATAAGTTATTAACCGATTGCTCAGTTGTTACTATGAACTTGAAAAAGTGTTATCTAACACCGTATATATATATATATAAATATATATATAAAGCATATTCAGTACAATATTTTAATTAAACCGGACATTAATCTGAAGACAAGTTTCAATGCTATACTGGTTTCTCGTGTTTATTAATTTTTTTTCTTATTTTAGAAATATTTCTGGTTTATTAAAATTATTATTTATTAATATCATCATTATTTAATTGCATATTAATATCATATATATTATATTTTCCTTAAAAATGTCTACGAAGTTTATTACTACAGGTTTTATTAGAAAAAATTATATATATATTTATATCATAATTAATAATAATAATAATAAGATGATTTAAAGGTTAAGTATAATAATTCTGTAAATTTTTATTTTTTTTAAATATCATTATTATAATAATTTATTTATTTATTATTTATAATTGTATTATAGTAATGGAAAAATAATAATATTTATTAATAATTTATAATATTGTAATTTATATATAATAATATTTATAATTATTGTTAAATGTATGCTCAATGTTGTTGTTTAGTTTAAGATTTGATCTAATATTTAGCAAAATCATTAAATACTTTAATACAATAAATGAATTGTTAAAATCATTGTCAATAACTTAAATATTATGTATTTGACTCTAATATTTAATTCCAATAAATTTTTATTCACTGCACTATTAATAATAGCAGTCAAATAACTAGTCTATAAGTCAAACAGTCTATTATATATAAATTATTTTATACTATTTTATATTAAATATTAACTACTTTAGTAACTACTATACTTCTAACACTTTGATTGTCAAAAGTAGAAATATTATATTAAGATTATTAACATTTATTTTATGACAACTTTAATACTACATAAAACTATTAGTTAGAGATATTAGTTAATAATTATTGGCAGTTTCATAAAAATATTTTTTTATTAAAATATTTTATTGATTAAAATATTTTATTGATTGATAAAATAAAACGTATGTACTGTAATTTATAACTAAAATCTACAAGTTTATGAAAAAATGTTCAGTAAAAAATTTCATGGATTACATCATTTAATAAAAATTAGACAACATTTGTATTGTGTAAATGATAAATATAATAATTATATAAGTGATACTAATAATATAAATGTAAATTTATTACATTATATGAAAATAAACTATGATAGAGACTATTTGAAAATTGAAGATATTTTAGTTTCATATTCATATAATCAATTTGATAACTATTTTATTAAGAAAAATGTTTTATAATTTAAATAATAGTTAATTATAACAGTTTCAACAAAATGATTTACATAAGTTATAAAAATAATAATAATAATTTTTTATAGTCAATGTTGTTATTATTAATTTATAAATATTTTATATAAATTATACAATATTTTTATCACATTTTATCAAATTATTAATAATTATATTATTGCGACCATTTCGGTAAAATAACATTAAGAATACTGGAAATAACTTTATAGACAACACCTTTTCGTTCACATTTTCGATGGTCAACACAATTGCCATCTTTAGTGCGCATATATCCATCAATACAGAAACATCCCGGTTCACAACGAGTACACGACAACACCCGACCAAACGAATCCTTAACCGATGGACACATCTCTTTGCATCGATCGGAGCACTCTTCAAATACCTCACCAAATGGACATTGTTTTTGTTTTTTGATGTCATCAACCCATTTGTCTTTACTATCATATCCTTCACATTCTTGCATAAGAACACACTTTCCTTCTCTACTCCTGAGTCGTGATCCCTTACAAAAGCAGCCCTCATCGCACTTAATAGGACAGGCGATCGGATCTTTCTGTCTGTCGCAATGTTCAAGGCATCTGCTGGAACAGTTGTCGTATATTTCATTAACRGGACAAACAATCTCGGGATTGTTGGTTGGTATGCGAGAATTGGTAGCATTGGAATCATCTTGTTTTACGGGCACAACATTAGACTGACCCTTCAAACCCTGTCCGCACTCATCCGGGTTCACACACTTTAAGTCTTTGTTTCGATAGTAGCCTTCCTTACAGAAGCAGCCAATTGTGTTACGCCATTCCGGACATTCAATAACCTTATCTGTTTGTAGGTCAGCGCAAAATCTACCGCAATTGGTTCCTCTAACTTTCCACTCAGTGTTGGGTTCATTACACACTTATAATATGTATATAAAAATTAAAAATTATAATTCAATGTATTATTATTTTTTTGTAACTTACGGGAAATTGTATCAATCATATTAATCATATTAAAATATAATATGAATAATAATAATTGCAATAATTTTATCATTTTGTTTGTTTAACAATATAATAGTTATTGTTTATTTACAATATTTATTTTCCATATATATATATATATATATATATAAATTAAATTAATATTTTTTTTATAAATAAAGGCCATTTTATATGATTTTTAATTTGTTATTTAATACTAGTTTTAATTAAATAAGATATTTATAATATTATTTTTTAAATTTAAAATKTTATATAAATAATTAGATTGAGTTTAAATATATATACAATATATACAGTATATATAATTTATATAATATAATAAGTAATAATATATAAATTATATTAATATGCCATAAAATAATTTAAATAATAAATATTTATAAAATGCAAATCGTTATCAAAATATATTAATTAATTTACTTGTATTTATATATAGTATAAATTTATGTTGATATTAACATAAATTAAATTTAAAAATAACTATTTATCTTTCAATATTTAATTATATAAAAATATTATGATGTATTTACTTTAATTTTTTCTCTATATTGATTATTAATAATAACAATAAGCTTATGAAATTAAAAATTAAATACTGTGATAATATTGTAAATGTTTTACTATAAAAGTTTTATAAATGTTATATTCAATGTATTATAATAAAACATTAATATAAAAAATACATAATGTATAAAAATTTGTATTATTTTTGCTATACTTATAGTAATTAATAATTTATTATAATTTAAATAAATTAATTATAATAAATAACATTATCAATAATTAATTTTTTTTATATCTTTTATTAATAAAAGTTAATGATGTGTTTTATTAGTATTTTAATTCTCAACAAACAACAAAAAACAGTAATATTATGCTTATGAAACAGTTTTATTTAAAATAAAATTATTRTCATTATTATTATTAATGGTATAACATAATTTATAACAAAGCCAATAATTTAACTTAATATACGGTTTAAATGTGAAATATAAATCATTTTACCTATAATATAAAACAAGTATACAAAATACAAGTACATAAAAATGCTTTAAGTAAAAGTTAAAAATAAAAGTAAGTTTAAGTGTAAAATATGCAATTCATAAATAGAAATTTGTTATAATAGATAATGTTTATGATAAAAAAATAGTTWTATTTATAAATCTAATAGTTTAATATTAATATAAAATGTTGATAAATAAAAGTCGAATCAAATTATACACAGAAACTAATTTGAAATATTTAAAGAAATTATTGTATAGTTTTGGCATTTCATTTATCAGAGATGATAGCTATAAAAAGCGAAAACTGATATTTAATCCCAAATTAATATTTACAGTCAATATTGTTATAGTTGTCAAAGACTTCTTGTCGATGATCATCAATAAGGACTGGTTTTCATTATTAGTCGGCGATTATGCATTCAAATGGAAACTTAAGACTCAATTTAACTTATTAATGATCTTTACGTTTATATTACCAATTGGTACGCATTTGTTGCACTATTATTACTATCTTCAGCATCGGTATCAATATTGGCAAACATTGAACTTAAAAGATAACGGCAAACACAAAAATGATTTTATAGTTTTGGACAGATTATCAAAGTTTATATTTAACACATTTGAAGTTATCACTCACATTATGTTTCCTATTGGATTTGCATCCCTGTGCTTTGTATCGTTAGCCATGAGCTGTACAATACAACAATTAGTTGTTTATGGTCTGCCATGGAGTACGGTATACCTGTTTTACGGATTGTATGATCCGGGAATGTATTTATTTCAAATGTTATACTTTATTATATTGTCTTATGATTGCAAAATTGAATTCAAACAATTAAACAAAAGTTTTAATTATTTAGCCAAAAATAGAAAGTTAATGAATAAAAATGATGTCTACTTTAAGATTTATTTGACAAAATTACTCTCATGTCTACAGAAAAGTCACAGAGATTTTCAAGAGATTAATAACTTTTGGTCGAAATATATATTCTTCAATTGGATAGCAATGTCATCGGTTTTATCGGGATTTTTGTTGCAAATTATTTACGGAAATCTTGGTCTAACTGTTAATATCATGTTTGGCATCATTTTTATCATCGGAATCGCCTATTTATGGCTATTGATACTGTCGGCCACTAATGTCCACAACGAGGCTAACAAAACATACAAATTAATGCATAGATTATATTTTATCAATAAAGATCAAAGTCTATGGATTAAATTTAAAGTAATATATTTTAATTTTAGTTACTTTTGTAATTTTACTATATATATATATTTTTTAAACTAATTAATTTCTATAGTTAATGAATTTCACTGAAAAGTGTGGTCATTATAGTATTGGATTTTATTGTTGGAATATATTTCTCATAAATAGTATTCGTGTTAATCAGGTATTTATAATTTAGCGTTTTTCTATTATTTGACATTTAATTTATTTTTATTTATTTTAAATATTTTTTTTCTAGTTATTGGGAATAATTTTGACTGTATTTATTAAATTACTTGAATTAATAAAATAATTTTTATATAATTACAGCTTGGTGATTAATTAAATATTTAAATATACGATTTTTTAAGTAAAAATTATAAATTCTTAAATAAAAATAATAAATATTGTAATTAAATATTTTTATGTGATATCAATGTTATCAAAATACGGTATGATATTCAATAAGTCAATTGTAAATTATTTTCAATAATATATTATTAATATAAACATAATTTAGTTATGCTTAATTTATATCGTATAAATAAGTTTCAAATTTTATCAATTAATAAAAGTTTACAATGAATGTAATAATACTAATACTAATAATTTTATCGACAGTATTTTTAAAATATCACCATACTAAATTTTATCAACATTTCAATTTATCAACAAGTTAATTGTTATTATGTTAATTTTGTAAATAATTTATATATTGAGCTTTTAAGTTGTGATACAAATATTATTTATCAATTGATACTTAATTCAAACAATAGTGATCGGTATAAATATATTAAAATTTTAAATACAAAAGGCATATATGATGGACATATTGCTTATAACAATCAATTTATTGGTACAGCTATAGTATCCATGAGTACAGAATCCAAACAAATTGTAATCTTTTAATTAATTAATTAAAATAAAAATATTACTAATTTTACTTTTCATAGACATGTTTTCTCGAAATAAATGGCATAACTTATTCATTGATACCAAAGCTGAAACCCAGGTATTTATCTAACAGAAACTTAAGACGACATAAGCGGGATATAAGCACATATGAAATCAAACAAATTGACGCCAACGATGATGGCTATGATTTTTGTGCCAATATCTATAAAAGTATTTTCATAATTATGTCATAATATATGTTATACATACAAAAATTAAAATTAAAAAAAAAATTATATCAGAGAAACAAAATTCGGTACAATTATTTGAGTCACTATCGGATGAACCAAATGTTTTCTTTGGCCGGACATTGGTTAAAGTGGCTGTATATGTGGATCAGATGCTCGTTAGACACAAGTTTGATAATGACATCGATAGTGTTAAACAGTTTGTAGCCATACATATAGCTTACCTCAAGAAACGGATGTCAGTGCCAGAGATAGTCAAAAATATATTAATAGACTTTACAATTGTTTGGTTTGCTGTGGCGCCCTATTATGACACACATCACTGGGATATTAGCTATTATTTGGATAACTTTTGTGATTATACAAACAATAATAATATCAATGTGACAGTTGATGTCAACATTTTATTCACTGGGTATTTGTCTGTATTTTACTTTAAAACTAAAACTATAAAATATTATAACATTGAAAAATTTGCGTTTTCTCACTATATTACTTACAGCAACAAACTTTGGTGGTATAAAAATGGTATAATCAATACAAGAATTAAAGGACTGGCTTATGTCAAAGGGATGTGCAGTCATGACTCCGCGTGCATTATAGTCGAGGCCAGACACAGCTTCAGATCGGCTCATGTATTGGTCCATGAATTTGGCCACAGGTCAATAGATTTATATTGCATTTAAAACGTTTTTATTTTATTTTGTTATTTTGATCACTTACAAAACTAATTAGTATCGGTGCCGAACACGATGGGGACCGGGAGTCAGGCACCGAGTCGTGTGATGGCACAGAGTATATAATGTCGCCGCATATGATCGATGTGGTCAGCAATAAGTGGTCCGAATGTAGTCTAAAATCGATGCGACAGTATTTGTTGGAATTAAAAGAAAAGTAATTGATTATTACATTTATGAAAATATTAATTCAGAGCTCAGTTACCATAAAAAAATGTTATATATATTGTACTTTATATCAGTTCTTTAGACAATGATTGCCAAATCAAGTGTTTGTGTACTGATGTTAAGTCAATAAGCGAAGACTTAGATATACATTCAGAAAAATATAACAATCCGGGACGTGAGTTGACAGCTGACCAACAGTGCCGACTAGCATATGGGCCCACATTTATCAACAAATTTGATGTATTATGAAATATAATTAATTATAATAATTGGGTATTTTTATCAATTAATTCAAAATGTCTAAAAACAGGATATTTGTGAACGGCTTGAATGTCGAAACAATTTTTTTACAATTCGCGGCTTTGCGGCTCTGGACGGGACCCGATGTGACCAAAACAATCAGTGTCTCGACGGCAAGTGTCAGTCAGTGGTAGATTCAGCGGCACTGCGATCGGTTAGTGGACAACCACTTATGCTAAGAAATCGACACAATTTGTTTAAATATGACATCAAAAATAGTGTTTCATTGCTACCAACAATTAATTTTAAACCCAGCAAACCAATTAACTAGGTCATTCATTATAAACTTAAACAAATATTTATATAAAGTAGATGTCACTAATACTATACTGTATACATATTACAGTATTAATAATTAGTAATTTTAATTAATTTAATAATAAATGTTTGGAAATCTGCTGTTATTTAGAAAACAATATTTTACAACAACTGTTGGCTTAACTTATTAGATAAATTTATCGAATTGTTGAACTGTCAGACTTTAAAAATTGATTTATTTTTTTTTTAATTTCAAATTAAAGTTAACAAAAAATTTGTTTTTATGTTAACATTTAACAAATTTATCAAATAATATATATTATTAAGTGTTTATTATTATTATTATTATTATTAATTTATATGATATCATAAATAATTTTTGTTTTTTATTAAAAATATGTCATAAAATCCTTTATCTCATTATTGATGTCACAGTTATCTCAAGGCATACCTATCCCTCATTATTCTTCTGATTCAATATCTCCTTCAACTATATCTTGTTTTGATTTTCCGGGTTTTTTGGTATCGTTCGCATCGGTTGAATCATTTCCTTCGGTCGTCGTAGAGTCGGCCGCGTCATCGCCACTATCGTTAGCATCTGTGGTCTTTGGTGTGGATTTTCCTGATTTATTGTCGGTCGGAGTGTCGTCACTATTGGTTGAATCTCCGGCAGCTTTTGTAGTCGATTCTCCTTTTTTTATGTTATCAGAAGAGTCATCATTTTCTTCTGGCGCTTCTGTTGTGTTTTCTGGCCCTTCTGTTGTGTTTTCTTCTGTTTCCGGTTCTTCTGATATGTCATCACTTGGCGTTTGTTGGCCATCATTATCGTCGACTTTATAGTCTTCGTCGTCTTTTTCTGGTTTTCTTGTTGTCTTCTCTTTCATTTTCTTCTTGTCTTTCTTTTCCGAGCACTGTCTTTGTGGTACACAATCATCGTTGACATCTCTAAAAAAACCGGTCCGACAGAAGCACCCGGCGATACACATCCTCTTTCGCGGACACTTAACCCATGTCCCGATCTCATCGCAAGTTTCGCCACAATGAGTGCCACAATCGGTGAACACCTCATTTTCACCGCACGACTGAGGCTTTTGATTAACGGGAACTGATGGACACTTGGACTCCGGCACACAATCGCCCAATTCATTTCTATAGTAGCCGTGATCACAGAAACAACCCGATGCACACATACGGTTTTTAGGACATTCAATTGCATGGGATAAGTCCTCGCATCCCTGACCACATCGGGTGCCGCACTCAGAGTAATGCTCATTTTTACCACATTTTACCGAAGCGGGATCGAGTTCGGTGGATGGCCGTTTAGGACACTCTATAGAAATATTAGATGAATCAATTGATGGTTCACTAATTGGTCGCATGACTTACCTTTAACACAGACACCATTTTGGTCACGTCTATAGTTTCCCGTACAGAAACAACCCGAAACACACGCCTGTCTGCAAACAGTGTCATGTATTAGATATTGTTTTAAGTTAAATACAATTTTTTAATATATAAATTACTTTTTGGGACATTTATCAAGATTGTCGTCACACGACTGTCCGCATCTTTGACCGCATTCTCTGTACTGTTCATTAGCGTCACACGTGGGCGGCGGACGTTTCACTGGCGATATGTTTGGACAGTCAAGCATTGGTACACAGTTTCCTTCGTCATCTCTAAAATGTTAAATTATTATTATTTTATATTATATTAAATTACTGGTATTATATAGGACTGACCTAAAGAACCCATTTGTACAAAAACATCCACTAATGCCTTGATTTTTTGTAAAAAATGTACGTAATTATGATTTTTTAGAGAATATTGTGGACATGAATCTTACAAATTCTTCGTTGAGGACAAGTAACACCACGACCCAAGTCCTCGCATCCCTGTCCACAACGAGTGCCGCATTCATTATATTGTTCATTAGATCCACAATCTATTTTTCTTGGTAGACCTTCTGGTGGTCCAACAACGGGACAATCAGATTCTGGCACACAATCACCTAACAAACGGGGCATTAAAATAAATATGTTAGAAATATATATATATACTGAAATCTACACATATGATAACTATGATAACTAATCTAACCCTGTTCATTGCGAAAGTATCCCTCTTTACAGAAGCAACCACTTACACAATGTGAATCTTTAGGACAGTCAACTTTTCTGCCAATATCGTCACATCCCTGAGCGCATCGAGTATTGCATTTTGAATACTCTTCATTATCTTCACATTTTGGTGTCATTTTTGAATTTGTTTTAGGTTTAGGACAATCCTATAATAATAACAACAAAAATCAACAATATTTTAATATAAGTTTGTTTTTAGTTTAAAAACAATTGTGAAATATTGTGTTTGACATAAAAAAACACAAGTTTTCATTAATACTATACCATACCGTTGGTTGGATACACTTTCCATCGTTGTTACGTATGAGACCCTTTTTACAAAAGCACCCGGCTACACATGACCTGATCTTATTGCACTCAACCTTTTCATTCAATTCACGACATGTTTGACCGCATCGTTTGCCGCAATCAGTGAATATCTCATTATTATCGCAAGTAATTTTAAATGGTTTGCCAAAATCAAACGGTTTCGGACAGTCCTCTAACTTAACACAATTGCCAAACGAATCTTTGAAATAGCCGTCGACACAGAAACAGCCGGCACTGCATTTATTTGGTGGACAAGTAGTCTTTAGTGTTTGATGATCACATGACTGTTTACACCTATCACCGCATTTATTAAACACCTCATTATCGCTACATTTGGGCTCAACTGATGGCGGCGGCCTATCATCGGGACATTGACTGGGAAGTACACATTTACCTAGATTTAAAAAACAGATAAGCGTTTAACACTGGTTTTAAAAGAACTGGTAGTTTGTTTTTTTGTTACCTTTATTATTTCGATGCATTCCTATTTTACAATAACAACCGGTTACCTAAAAAAGGGTATTTAAAAAGATTAATCTAATTATAATTTTTTGGTGAGAAAAATGTTATTATAATAATTTATTAAAACAATGCTGACTAACACACAATCCCTTTTTAGGACAGGTAACCGATTTGAATAGATTATTACACGGTTCACCGCATCGGGTGCCGCACTCTTTATAGATCTCCCCGTCTTCACACTTGAATTTAATTTTAAATTTGATTACCGGACCATCATCTTCGGGTGGTTCATCAGAATTGGGACATTTCTATTGTAAACATGTAATACTACTATAATAACTAGATTTTTTCTGGGCACCGGTATGATAATAATAATGAAATAAACCTTTTCTGGTATACATGGACCCTTGGCCTTTGCCCTATAGAAGCCAGTGTCACAAAAACATCCTTTTTCTGAAAATAACTTCAGATAATTACTATAATGTTTTTTTTGATAATAACTATTAAATGTTAATTATGTTGTTGTCTGACGACTAACCGCATTGGTTTTCACATGAATCTGGTGGTTGGCATAATTCAATGCAATGGTCTCCACAGTCGTTGAAGTGTTCATTGGCCGGACATTTGTCATCGTCGTCATCATTCTTCGGTGTTGTAGATTTAGGCGACCATTTTGGCACTTTTGGCGTACATTTACCGATTGGGACGCATTTGTTTTTGTCATTTCTAAAGAAACCTCCCCTACAGAAACATCCGACTTCACATTTCTCTCTCATCGGACACATGACGTGTTCCGCCTGATCCGAGCACTTCTCTCCACAAGAAGAGCCACATTTCATGAATACTTCATTTTCTTTTTTGCATTCTTTTGGTTCTTTGTTTTTCGGTTCCGATAACTTATTCGGACATTTCTATCCAATTGTCAATAAGTAAATACTGGTACTTAAAAAATTAATAATAACTAATCAACTAATCAAGTCTTACATTTTCGGGAATACATTTTCCCTTTTTATTTCTCAAGAATCCTCGGGAACAGAAACAACCTTTTTTACACTTTCGCGGACACTTTGCCGGCGGATCACACAATTCAATACAATAGTCACCGCATGCAAAGTATTCTTCATTTTTGGAACAACTTTTAATAGGATCGTCGCCATCATTTGGTTTCTTGGAGTTTGGTTTGACGGGATCTGTTGGTTTTGGACACTTGTTAGCCGGCAAACATAAACCGGTTGATGACTTGAGCTCTCCATCTTCGCAAAAGCAGCCATTGAGGCAAACTTTTCTTCGGGGACATACCATCTTTTCGGTCAATTCATAACAATGTTGTATACAGTTTTTGCGACATTCGGAATATTTTTGTTTAGCCGGACACGTCTTCGGGCCATCACTTTCGGGTTCATCCAATTCGGGACACTCTATATTCATATGAAAAAACCCAATCAATTAATAATTTTAAAATTTTGATTAACATATCTCTTAACAATGAATTGGTATTACATACTGTTTAATGGCACACATTTCCCTTTTTTATTTCGATAATATTCTTTCTTACAATAACATCCCGATTCACATTCATACGGACAGATCTGTTAATTATATAAACAATTCAATTGAAAAAATACCCGAAATTTTATTTTAAAAAAGAAAAATATGGTTAAAAATATCCAAACAGTGGGAGGATTGCAGAGTTCAACACAAGGATTGCCACACTCTTTGTACTCTTCAGTCTTTTTACACTTTTTCGGCGACTTTTTAGGTTTTTTTTCATCGCATTCCGCCTCCGGTACGCACTTTCCCTTTGTATTACGATAATAACCCGGATTACAGAAACAGCCTCTAGTTTCACAGACACAACACTTTTCTTAATCATTTGAAGACTACTGTTATGTTTTGCAATAATATATTAATTGAGTTTTAATTGCATACCTGACACATATTTTTCTTCGCGGACAGACATATCCCCCCTCCATCTTCTGTGCGGCACAACTCTCACCACATTTGGTACCACATTGTTTGTAGTATTCATTTTTACTGCACTGATCTTTGGTCCGCGGTTTCGGTGTTGCAGATTTCGGTATTTCTGGACACTGTCGACCAAGTTTTTTGGTTATTAATTTGCCGATCTTTGACCAGTTCTCTTTGTTATCGACCACACATTTTTTGTTTTCAGTGTTCCGAAAGTAACCGGACTTACAATAGCAGCCCGGCTTACATACGACCGGACACTCTGATAGATAGATGATATGATTTAAATTATAGATCATTAAAATTACTAAACAACAACTAACCTCTTGGTGGTATACATAGGTCTACACAAGGATTGCCACAGATCTGAAAGCTTTCATGTTTGGTACAGGTGCCACCCACAGTCCGGCACTCTTTCTATACATTCAAACAGTTAGTATAGATATTACATAAACTTTACCGATAGACAGGTACTTACCGACGGAACACATGTGCCTTTTGAGTTGCGTTTGTATCCATTTTTGCAGAAACATCCGGAAACACATTTTTCTTTCTCACACTTGGATGTCGATGACTCTGATTTGTGACAATTTTCAGCACATCGACGATCACATTTGCGATACTTTTCACCGACCGGACAATCTTTGATTGTCGACGGAGTAGTGGCCGGAAATTTGACACCACATTTGCTAAATGGCACACAATCTCCCTCTTCATCTCTGAAATAGCTGTCTTTACAAACACATGTCTGTTCACATCTAAAATCAATGACAACATTAATGCATTCAATTTAAATAATTTGTATACTAATTAATTTTATTTACTATTTTATCTACTAATTTACTATTATTATTACTGAATGTCTAACTAAATATAACTATAAAACACATTATTAGCAAAACGTATTTTAATGAAAATCTCATTCCCTTTCATTCACTTTATTCTCAATTAAATATATTAAGTGACAAGAATTAGACAAACGAAACAGAGAGAGAGAGAGAGAGAGAGAGAGAGAGAGAGAGAGAGAGAGAGAGAGAGAGAGAGAGAGAGAGAGAGAGAGAGAGAGAGAGAGAAGCAGAGAAAGAATAAAACTGACTTATTCTGTGGACAGTTGTTTTTGCCGGCATTACGACACAGTTCTGTGCAACGGTTGCCACAATCAGCCCAAACCTCATTCTTCTGACACTTTCTTTTACTACTTTTTCCACCCTTTCGTTTCTTAGGCTTCTCCTGATCGTCCGTTTCTCCACCGAAGCACTGACTGCCACGAATACAATCCCACGACCAGCTCCTGAAATATCCGCTTTTACAGAAACAGCCCGTTGTTGTACCGATAGGACACCTCCAGCCCACCCCATGTTTCTTATAATCAGAACATTTACAGTCCTGACCCATGACTTGAAACTCAGTGTTCCTGAAGACCGTACATTCTTGTAATGTCATTATTAATGGGGTTTTTTAGATACGGGTTGTATGGAAAGCAAGTTATTAGTTTTGTGTATCAATTTTTTTATCTAATTTATATATATATATAATTACGTGAGTATATGCCGGTTATCTCCAAAATCGATGTCAATATAAATGAATATAAAAAATTCATTTTTTATTTCAAATATTTACACTAAATAACACTTATATTTATATTAATTATAGCAAAACATTATATTTATATAACAACCATTTTATTTAAATTGATTACTGTATAGTTATAATAGTAATTTTATATATTATTAGAGTTTAATAACTCCAAAGAAATTCCCTCTAATTTTCCCAAAAAATAGAAAGGACTTCCCTTCATCTTAAGAAAGGTTTTATATATATATATATATATATATATATATATATATATTATATTATTATAATAAATATTACCAAAAACTCCAATATTTGCAAAAAAATATTTAAAAATAAACATGAATTCAGTTAATTTAATGATAATGTTTGACAATATCAGTTAATATACATTTAGACATAACATGTGTTTTTTAAAAAAAATTATAATAAAATCTGTGGTTTAGGTATTACCAAATGGAAATATATTTCATGTGAATTCATAGGGAAAATATAGAATGGAAGGAATTTGCCCGAACCCTACATATTATAATTAAGTATTACATAAAAACAAAATTCCAAATACCATAGTGTTATTAAATACTATATAAATTTTTATATTTTACTGTTTTTATACACATATATTAATCAAAACATAAATATATAATTTTGATTAAATAACAATTAGTTATCTGTTATACAATTATTAATTATTAATTAATGTTTTCTAATTATTAAAATAATTTAATACAATGCAAATTAATAAAAATTATTACAATTATAATAACAATATCATTTTTTTTTTAAAAATCACATTTAAAATAATTTTGATACTTAACAATTTAAATAGTGATTTTATTAAATTATCATGTTAATTTATTATATTGAATGTCTAATAAATGTTTTATTAGTTTTGCGAGTTTGTTCAAAACACCGATTTCTGGTAACACATTTGCCGAACTGATCCCTTAGATATCCAAACTTACAGAAGCACCCGTGCCTACAGGCGCCACAGTCACGTGATTTGTCTATGTCTGTGCATAACTGTCCGCAATCATCGCCACAGTGAGTATAGTATTCATTTTCAGGACATTCAATGCATTGTAGAGCATCATTACATTTCGTATTTTCCACACAATTGCCCAAACGGTTCCTCAAAAAATCTTATATACAGTAAATATAAATTAGATAAATAAATATATTTAATTAGAAAATAATTAATGATATTTTAATGCAATTTTTTAGAGATAAGTACAGAAATAACTGATATTAAAATGAGTAAATTATGTTTTGTACAACAATTAAGAGTTGTGTACAATACTTAGGAATTTATTAAATAGTAAATGAAATTAATGTAATTTTTATAAAAATTATTATAATATTATCATAAATTTACTCATATTGTATAAAACAAATTTGTTATTTAAACAGATTCGATAAAGTTATTAAAAAAATACAGTTATTATATAGAAATGTTGTGTTTTATAACACATATCATACCTGGTTTGCAGAAACATCCCGTTTCGCAATCATTTTTACAGTCAGTTCTGTCTTCACACGATTCCTGGCATTTATTACCGCATTCTTTATAGTCTTCATTTGGTCCACATATGGGCGCCGGTGTTGTTGTGGACTGGAGTTCACATTCTTCTTTCTTGACACACATTCCACTTAAATCTCTGTAAAAACTTTCCAAACAAAAGCACCCTTTTTCGCATACTTCGGGACACGTGACGGGATTCTTGAGGTCTTCGCACGTCTCGCCGCACTGCGAACCGCATGTCTTGTACTCTTCGTTATCGTGACAATCAATGGGATCGGTGTCGCACTTGTTTCTGGTAACGCATGTGTTGTTTTTCAATCTATACAAACTCTTTTCACAGAAACAGCCGGACTCACATACCAGAGGACATCTGATATTTTTGCCGGGAATCAGATCATTACACCGACGGCCACAGTTGCTGCTACACTCAGAGTACACCTCATTTAAGGTGCAAACACTTTTGTCGTAACACATACTCTCTTTAACACACTTTCCTTCTGTAGTTCTCTTATAACCCTTACGACACACACATCCCTTATTGCAAGTGTAAGGACAGCCATCTTGTCGACCAAATATCTTAATTTTGGGACAATTTTCATCGCAAAAATTACCGCATTGGGTATATTCTTCACTTTCAGTATCGCATTCAGATCTACTCTTAGTCATACCAATGAGTCTGAAGTCACAGTTGTGTTTGCGAACACAGTCTCCTTTTGTGTTGCGATAATAATCCTTTTTACAGAAGCATCCGGACTGGCATTCATTGGCATTACACTTGATTTTACTGTCTTTAATTAGATCCAAACACCGATGTCCACAGTCTGAACCGCATTTGTGATATATTTCATTTTTCTTAAAACACTTCTTGTATACGCTTTGACCACAATCTTCTGGTTTAACACATTCTCCGTTGTCATCCCTAAAGAACTCTAATATTAATTAAAAAAAATTAAGAGATAAAATGATTACAAAATGATTACAAAATGATTATTTTAATCGATAAAAATCATTACAAACCATCGGCACAGAGACAACCGCGCGAACACTTGTCATTACATTTGGTGTTTGATTTGTCTGAAGCTGACGGACACCGTCTGCCGCACTCATTATAACAGAAAAAATATCGTTCGTTAGGATTCTTACATTTTTTAGGCTTCAAATTGGGACAAATGCACTGAAATAGCAAATGAAATGTAATGATTAAGACATAATGTTTGAGATAACTGATCACTAATAATGTGTATAATACCTGATCTTTCGGTAAACAAATACCGTCACTATTCTTGTAGAGTCCATCGTCGCAATAACAGCCGGGTTTGCATTCAGAAGCCGGACATGACTTGGTTTTTGTTGAATTATCGGCAAATTGTTGACACGATTTACGACAATGAGATCCACAACGATCGTAGTGTTCATTGAGTCCACATTTTTTTGAATTAGCTATAGATTTTGGGGTTGTGTTTAAACTGCTTCACATATAATCATTGTTTCAATTGTATTACCTGTTGGTTCTGTCGTTGACTCTTTGCCCGGATCATCAGTACCTCCATTCGGATCATCAGTACTAACATTTGGGTCTTTGGTGCTATCATTCGGGTCTTTGGTGCTGTCATTTGGGTCTTTGGTGCTATCATTCGGGTCTTTGGTGCTGTCATTTGGGTCTTTGGTGCTATCATTCGGGTCTTTGGTGCTGTCATTTGGGTCTTTGGTGCTATCATTCGGGTCTTTGGTGCTATCATTCGGGTCTTTGGTGCTGTCATTTGGGTCTTTAGTGGTGTCATCTGGATCTTTACTGCTCTCGTTTGGGTCTTTGGTGCTGTCATTAGGGTCTTTGGTGCTGTTATTTGGATCTTTGGTGCTGTCATTTGGATCTTTGGTGCTGTCATTTGGATCTTTGGTGCTGTCATTTGGTTCATCATTACTTTCATTACTTTCATTACTTTCATTACTTTCATTATCTTTATTCGGTTTATTTTTATTATGTTTATCTTTATTTGGTTTACGATTGGGTTTAGTGTTGACATTACTATCCTCTCGACACTCATATTTAAGAACACAATTTCCTATATAATTACAATTATTATTATTAGTAAAAAATAAAAATGTCTTAAATTGTCTAACCTTTACTATTCCTATAATAATCCTTCTCACAAAAACAACCATGCTTACAACTTTCAAATAAAACACCAAAAAAATGTATTAGACTTATTAAAAATTTATAATTTTTTGATATATTATAAATGTTATATGCAAACAGATAGACATGTTTGAATTTATACAATTTTTTAAATAAAAAATATATTTATATTAAATACAGTATTAGACATACGTTTGTTTGCATTTATGAGTTTTGCCAATATTTTTGCACATTTCTGTACAATGATTACCACATTTCTGGTATCTTTCATTTTCTTTGTCGCAATTCTTTTTCGGATCATTTTTGTCTGATTTAGCCTTATTATGGCATTCATGGGGTCGGACACAATCAAAAGCCCAGTTACGATAATAGCCTTTAATACAGAAGCATCCAATAGAGGAGTGGGCTTCTTCGCAAAATGGATTTGCGTGAATCAACTGATTTATGTCATACTTTTTCTGAAGATCACCGCACATACGGCCACAATCTGATCCAACGTATGTAAACTCTGTATTGCGAAATGTATCGCATACTAGATAAACAAATCAAAATTATACACAAATCAAATCAATTAATATCTAATATTTTATATATTAATTGTATACACAAAAAACACTTACTGCTAATGATTTGTCTAATTTGTATAACTAATATAAAACAAACTAATATAATAATAATAATGTTTTTCATTATTTATTTAGTTATCGTCCGATACTAACTTATATTTACATAATTATTTCATATTACATAAATGAGTACAGTATATACATGTTTAATGCATGTGTAATGCATATTTGCAGTCATATTGATTTTAAAAAAATAAAATTATGTAAATTAATTTTGTTATATATTTATAATAATTAAATCATTTGATTTAATTTACTACATATATAACGTTTTGACAATTTAATAACATATAATAGTTGATACACACATCTAGGAATAAAAATCTAAAACTAATTATTTTGAATTGAATCAATTAATAATTTATTAAAATTTGTTATCAATGACACAATTATTAATTGTTACACATTTTCCAAATCCATTCCTCCGGAACCCGTGTTTACAGAAACAGCCTTTTTTACAACTTTTTGTACACTCAGTCGTCCTATTGGTGTCCGCGACAACTGTCTTCAGTTCGTAACAATGTTTACCGCAATCACTGCCACAACTCGTATAGTATTCATTGGCGTCACACTCAAGACATTCGTTGACAACATTGCATTTGTCTTCAGGTACACAATGGCCAGACTTGTGTCTCAGATATCCTATATTTTTATTATAAATTTATAGATAAAATTTATTTAATTATATATCTATTAAATTGTTTGTTACAGACCTACCAACACTACAGAAGCAACCTTTTTGGCATTCATTAGTACAATGCATACTATCTTCACACAACTCAAGACATTTATTGCCACACTTGCGATACTCTTCATTTGTCTTACAATTAATCTGATCATCGATTTCTTGATTCTGTTCCAAATCGCACTGATCTTTGGTCAAACAATTGCCATCGATATCTCTATAGTATCCATGTTTACAGAAACATCCCTTTTCACACACTTTTGGACAGTGTATCGGATTTCGCAAGTCTTCACAGGTTTCGCCACAATGATTGCCACAATATAAATATTCTTCGTTAGTATTGCACAGAATGGGATCCGTATCGCATGTACTCTTTGTCACACACTTTCCCTTTTTGTTTCGATAGTAACCACTATTGCAAAAGCAACCGATATTGCAAACCAATGGACAGGGAATGTTATCTTTGAGAAGATCATTGCAGTGATGACCACAATCAGTGCCACATTTTGAAAATTCTTCGTTTTCATCGCACGCGCGACAGTCATCCTCAGCAACACATGTAAGAAGTTTGTTTCGTTTATAACCATCGCGACAAATACATCCCGGAGCGCATGTAAGGCTACAATTAAGTTGCAATTTATCTTTATTGAGAACTGTGCACAACTGGTCACAAAAGTTGCCACAATCGGTATATATTTCGTTAGAACTACACTTTTTGTTTGGTTTCTGAACAACACTTAGTGGACACTCAGCTTCGGTAACACATTGCCCACTATCCGATCGATAGTAGCCTTCAGCGCAATAACAGCCCATTTTACATGAAAAACACTCTAAATCTTTACCCGATTTGGACCTCTCGTGACAATGTCGTCCGCAATCGGATCCACAATCCATATGAATCTCATTTGATCCGCATTTCATCTGAACCGTCATATTACAGTCATCGGTTGGCAAACACATACCGTATTTGTTGCGCACAAAACCTATTGACAATAACTGTTATTAATGTTATTACAAATTTGTTGTTATTTTTACTAAAACCATACCATCTTTACAAAAGCAACCTCTGGAACACTTATCAGGACAGTTGGCGTTGATATCTGAGTGCATGTAATCAGCACACGTACGGCCGCACTCGTGATAACACCAGAAAAACATTTCATTGGGTCCGTCACATGAGGTCATTGATTTGCACTGACATTGATCCTTTGGGACACACGCGCCGTAACTATTCCTAAATAAGCCTTTATTGCAATAACATCCCGGTGTGCACTCAGGACCGCACGTAGGTTTGTCTATCCCGTTGGCAAATAATTTGCATGACTCACTACACTGCGATCCACAAGTATTGTAATATTGATTTAATCCACAATTTACTTCAGGTTTGTCAGTCACCGATACAGTAGTCGACTTCTTATCCGACTCTGTAGTCATTTCGGTAATTTCGGTATTTCCAGTGGTTTTTATTGTTGATAGCTTTGACAGACAATCAGACAGATTCACACAAATATGATCTGTATTTCTATAAAATCCTTGGAAAACAATAATATTCACAATTTAAATGAAAATTAATTTTTTTAAATTGTTTTTATGTTGTTTTTATTATTACATATTTAACTTTATATAAATAACTGTAATAACTTAATTTAATTTAATTTAATTTAACTTAATTAATAGTAATGTTTTTATTAGTAAAATAAAAAAAATTAATTAGAATTAAATTATTTATTATATAATTTATTAAATAATTTCTATGAGTTTGAAGGATAAATATTTAGAGATGTGACTATAAAAAACTGGATGTGAACCCCATTGTCGATCCATTTAATGATGAGAACCGATAGTTAGTTTTGCTATAACTGCGATGTTTAGGACCCATCAGCCGATTGGCTTGACTTACAATCCTCTGGCAATACACACATCCCGTTAACAGATCGTACATAACCTATCAAATAGAGAATATAATTTATATAATAATAATAATAATATGTTTTTTCAATATAAATGTCTTTCCCTTTCCCACTATAACTATTCAGCCAAAGGATTGAAGTCTATTATCAAATAAAAATGATGATTAAAGTACTATATGTTTTGAAACTATTTATTAATAGGTAACTATCTATTTATAAATAGTTAACAAATTATTAGCAAATTATTATACTTAAATATTAAGGTTTTTAAAAAATAATAATGCAAGTTTTGTTGCTAAGGTTTTACTATTAATAATATTATATTATGAATATACTGAATAAATATTATACATTAAACATTAAACTCTAATGATTACTATAGTAAAATACAGTATATTTAATAAATACATATTGAACCCATGTTATAAATGTTTATACGTTATGATTATAAATGAGATAATGAATATTGAGACAAAATCTATGAATTATAGACACAAAAAAATATATTCAAATATAATTATATTGTATTGTATTATCACTATATCATTGTAAGTATTTATTACTTTATTTGTAAAGTAAATTAAATTATGAATTAAAATTTTAAAACTAATACTAATAATAGTTGTAATATTGTATATTAATTAATGTGATTAAACATAGAGTATTAGGAAACTGTAGTCAATTCCTATGATCGCATATACCTTAACTGTTATACAGTTAGACATACCTTTATGACAGAAACATCCGGGTTTACATAGATTTTCATCGCATTTGTCGGCTGACTGATAGTCAGCGCAAGTTTTGCCACATTCAGTGCCGCACTCATTAAACTCTTCATTTTTTTGGCCGCAGTACTGGTCGTGTTTTTCACTGACAGTTGTGTCCTGAGTTGGTTCGGTAATCGGCGAATTGTGATCACTTTCGGTTGGTTTTTGACATTGATTTTCAGGGACACACTCGTCTTCACTGTTTCTTTTGAATCCTTTGTCACAGAAGCACCCGAACTCACACGAAGCACTTCCGGAGCACTTTTCATTTTCGGGTAGCTGTCCGGGACAGTACTCTACACAACGAACGGCGCAACTCTTGTAAATTTCGTTTCGACCACAAATCAGCTGAGGTTTAGGAGTGAGCACTGATTTAAAGCACTGACTCTGTGGTACGCAAACACCCCTGTCGTTCCTAAAGGTGCCTCTCTTACAGAAACATCCGGATTCACATTCATTGGGCGGACATACGTTTGGATCTTCACTATTGACACAGTATTCGGGACAACGATTCGCACATTCTCTGTATACTTCACTGTTAGGACATATGGGTTTGGCCGCCGGCGGACAGTCGGTGGTGGCTTCACAGGCGTGCGCCGGAACACAGAAACCTTCATCGTCTCTATAGAGGCCTTCTTCACAAAAGCACCCGACATCGCACCGATTGAGATCACACACATATGACTGTTCCCGGTTGACACACATTTCTCGACACCGACTGTCACATTGACTCCACTTTTCTCCCGATTTGCAGACATGTTCCTCTTCGGGACAGATATGTGGCACACATTTGCCTTTTTTGTTACGATAGAGACCATTCTTGCAAAAGCATCCAAACTCGCAGAGGTCTAGAGGACAAACCCATTGCTGTTCTTTATTTTCCAACGCTTCCAGACATCGATTGCCGCATTCAGTCATTTCTTCGTCAAGTTTACATTCTTGAGGTTTTTCAGTTGGCGCTTGAATTTCAACACATAATCCTTCATTATTTCTAAACATCGGCGGCAAACAAAAGCATCCGACGTCACATAGACTTTGGTCACACTCAACATCGTTTCTCTTGTTTTCCAACGATTCCATACATCGATTACCACAATCGCTGTACATTTCATTTAGAGGACACTTAGGTTTGTCCGCACACTTTTGCGGAATAAGACATATCCCGCTGTTATCCCTAAAATATCCATCTTTACAGAAACATCCCGATTCGCATTTATGTTTGCCTGACTCACAGACATCTGGATTGTCAATTGTGGCCATAGACTCGACACACCGATTACCACAAGCTTCGAACTCTTCATTTTCGCCACATTGAGGTCGCGGAGGTTTAATGCATTGACCCACTGATGTTCTGAAAGAGTCCGGTTCACAAAAACATCCCGAATCGCAGTGACTTTTATCGCATTGGTTTGGGTTATAAAAGTTTTTGATTGATTCCATACATCGATTGCCACAATCGCTATACATCTCACCCATTGGACATCTGGGCCGACACACACCCACTTCTGTTCTATACATTCCACGCTTGCAATAACATCCCGGTTCACAATTTCGTGGACAAGCTTTTGAATGTTTTATGTCTTGTATTGACTCAATACATCTGTTGCTACACTCAACGTATTCTTCATCATCAGCACATGGAGGTGGAGGCTCTACACACTCCTGCAGATTGTTTCTGAATTTGTCCGGCAGACAAAAACAGCCGACATCGCAGTGTTTATTATTGCAAATTTTGCGTTTATTCAATAATTTATTTTTTAATAATTCCAAACATCTGTTACCACAATCACTGTATGCCTCACCAGTTGGACAGATGCGCGGCTTTTCAATACATTTGCCGTCGACGTCACGAAAATATCCAGGAATACAGAAGCACCCGATATCACACTTATCTTGATTGCAACGTTTTTTAACGTAGATATTCTGTATAGACTCCATACATCTATTGCCACAATCGGAGTATTTTTCGTTATGTGGACAGAGAGGTGGGGGTTGAACACAGAATCCATTACGATTTCGATAGAGTCCGGACTCGCAGAAGCACCCGCTCTCACACGAGTTGTCACAACCTAACTGTTCTGTTAAAGTCTCAATCTTTTCCATACATTTACTTCCGCACTCTTTGTACATTTCATTTTGTGGACATATAGTACCAATTGGTAGACCAAACGATTCAACTTCACAGCTCTCAGGCGTTGGTGTATCGACTTCACAGGTCTCAGTTGTCGGTGTAGTCGCTTCACAATTGCCATCATAATCATCATCTTTGTCATCATCATCGTCGTCGTCATCGTCTTTCTCAGTCGGCTTTTCTTCTACGCACAGACCCTCTTCATTGCGAAAAAAGTTAGGCTTACAAAAGCACCCGATGTCGCACCACTTGATGTCACACTTAGAGTTGTTGTTTTTATTTTCCAACGATTCCATACAGCGATTACCGCATTCACTGTAGACCTCATTATCTGAACAATGAGTCGGTGTCGTCACCACTAGTGGTGATGTATCTGTTTTCTCTCTTTCTTTAGCCGCCGCTTCTTCATTTTCGGACAGTGTTGTTGTATCTGGTGTTCTGTCAATAGGAGCGCCCGATTCAGTACTCATTTCTGTTGTAAATTCTGTTGTCAAAAACGGTGGTCTTGTGTCGAGATCTAAGTCATGTTCACCTTTTGTGTGATCAAAATAAATGATTAATAAGTTTTTAAAAATTTGTCAATTATTTAATATGACTTACACTTTTCCTCTGAAACACATGTATTGTTTTCATTTTTATAGTACCCTTCCTTACAGTAACATCCCGGAGCATCACATCTATTTGGTCCAAACGTGACACAGAGTGTAGGACTGTCCATTGCATCGCACGATTCCATACATTTACTGCCGCAATCGTTGAACTCTTGGTTAACGGCAGTACATGTAGTGTTTTTGGATCTATCGAGAGCAGCATTATCTGCAAAATCGGTTAAACCTTTTTGATGCAAACCATCGCATTGATCTTCCGGTACACACTTTCCGTCTTTTCTAATATATAATTACAATTACCGGTAAATATTTGTTTATTGATGTATTATTATTAGTATGGGATATACCTAAAGAAACCGTTGATACAAAAACACTTATATGACTTTGCTATTGGAGGACATGAACTGATGTTATGTCTATTTTGGCAGAGTTCCCGACAATCACATCCACATTTCTTAAATTTCTCGAAAAGACCACATTTTCGAGACCCACCCGAACCACTCGGTTTTGCTGTTGTTTTTGGTATGTCGTCGTTAAGGGTTGTTATGTCGTCTAAATGGTTATTCAATGGATCATCAATTAAAATAAAGACTTGAGTAATAACTTACCGGTTAATACATAATTTAATGTCAATACTATCAATAAATTAGAAATTAAAGTGAAATATAAATATTTCATTATATTTTTGATGACAACTAAATGAGAATCTACTCATTAATTATTAATTTATTTATTATTATATTATATAAATATCTAATAATATAGTATAGTATAGTATATTGCAATATCAGATGTCTTTAAGTTTTAATGCAAATGTCTGATTTTTAATTTAGCATCCATTTTAGTAATAAGTTACTAAATAATAATTTTAAAATTAATATTTTATGAAAACTTTACAATAACTAACTATTAATACCGTATGATGCAAATTATATTATATTTAAAAATAAATATAATTGTCAAATAAGATTTTAAATAACTAAATTTTTATATTAATAATTTATTATAATAAGAATTTTTATATTTATTTACAAAGAAATATTATGATTGTGTTTATATTTTAATATGTAATTTATTTATAAAATTTTTATTTTAATTAAAATAATTTTTTAATTATAAAATATTATAGTAGTAATTATGAATTATATGTATCCTTTACAGTATAAATATAAAATATCTAAATGAAATTTATATTAATATATAAATATATAATATCGATAGCGCCGTTACATATCTTTAATTAAATAGATTTATTTAAAAATTTTAAAAATATACAATTAATACAATATATTTATATCAATTAATTAGCTTATCAGTACATTAATAATACAAATAAATAAACTTGTTTATTAAACAAAAAATAATGTGTGTGCAATATTGATAAAACTAATCGTTTTATTATTATATTATAGTGAAAACCAAATTATATTAATAAAGTAAATACATTAACTATTTATAAATTTCTAACTAATTATTACATGAATAATGTTTTAGTAATAGAAATAATAATAAAACTATAAAAAAAAGTGATAATAATAATAATAAGTTTTCAATTATCTAATTTATTTTTGTTGTTGATGTTTCCACGACCTTGAGAAACATTAATGACAATAATGATAAAATCTGTAACAAAATAATTCATATTATAAAATATTTTATTTATCTTATTATTTCAAAAAATATAAACAATTACTTCATAACAGCGAAAGTAGTTTATTATAAAAAGTTTCCAACAATAGAAACCAATTGACTGTAAACTTAGTCTCTCAATAAAAGACATTAGCTATTAATAGATGAAATTAAATTAAAAATAATATTAAGTATAAAAACAATTAATTACTACTAATTAAACATAATTACCATTAAGTTGGCTATTAATTCATTTTTATAACGATTTTTAGGTAGTTTTGATAATATTTTGTGTCTAATATTAGCTAATATTACAGAATTTAATATCTTATATGACTTGTTAGCTGTCGTATTGACCGAACTGGCGGTAAATATCATAAATAAGAAGATGAAGAAAAATGTGAGAAAAGCATAAATATATATTAACAGAAATAACCAATAATTTGCACTAAAAAATATTGTATACAATATGAATACAGAGAGAGAGCCCAAACATAACCAAATTATTAGAAAATAATTGCACCAAAAACTAGTATTATAATCGGTTATCAAAGCGTACTGTTTATTCAATTCATTGATTATCTGCAAACAATTGATACGTGATTTCATCTTAATCTGTGTCAAACAGTTTTGATTTAATTTTTTAATTTTCAATTTAATGTGATCACAGATCACATGAAAAAATACTCCGTGTATTAGTATTGTGTTGAAAACATGGTATGCAAATAAAGTAAAATGTATATAATTTGGTATACAAAACAACAGTGTATCGGCCAGTGATGTCATTGTGAGAAACGGTACGAAATGTATGACTAGTGAGGCTATGGGCAGTATTCTGCTGTTATTTGTAGTGACAAATGTTATCATTAACTTTGTTTTGTTAATAAGTTTTATTATATCAGTTTTATCAGTCAGTCCGACACTGTTAGGCGATACCTGACCAGACATCATGTTAAATACGTCCAAAAATGTGGGATCAATATGTTTTCGGTAATTTCTATACCACAATAATTGTGACCACAAAGATAATATGCCAACATATAAAAACACGATATTTATATGTAATCTAACATTTAATAATGTGGACCAATCACCCAAATATATCGATAACCGATAGTCGCCAACATAGAGATTAATTGATGACTTAATCAATTGCAATATATTTACAATTAATATAAACACCGGTCGATGAATGAGTGATCTCTTTGACTTAAACTTTTCATATTCATAAATAATACCTAAATTGTATAATAAATTGTTTACTGATTTTATTATAAGATAATCTGGTAAAACTTGATTTGCATCAAATGAATCCATACTCAAATATAACAGATAATAATATAATATTTTTTGTTGCATTAGTTTATTATCAAATTGTTTAATTGATTTTAGACTACATATGTATTAAAAATTTTGCATAAATTAATAAATCATACTAATTAGCATACTTTATTTTATTATTAGTAATTATCATAGTAATTATTTTAATATGTTTACTTTACATCAATATAAACAATTTAAGTATCAAACCAAACAAATTAGAAAAAATAGTATTTAATTGAAGTTTTTTATTTTATTTCTTAATATTTTTTCAAAATTAAATCCATGTAATTTAATATAAAAACATTTTATAATAAATATAACTTATATTAATTATTTAATATAATTTTTAGTTATATGTAATAAATAAAATACTAAATAAAATCCTAAATGAACACTAAGTTATAGTCTATAGCTGTTTTAATTAAAATATTAATAAATTATTATGTCTAGACTCTAGACATACAGTACTAAATTAAATAGATAACAAAATTGATAGATATAAAGTACAGTCACAGGATTTTCACACCTATTGATATTTGTTTTATTAAATAAAATTTTTATTTTGGCGCGAAATCCGGTCTTAGGATATAAAGATTATAAATTATAATTATATAAATTAATATAAACTACTTTTACATAATGCACAATATGTAGTATAATATTATTTACTTTTAAATAATCTAAGATTATATTAAAAAGACGTTTTTATGGAAAACCAGCTGTTGTTGAATATGATATACAGTATGTATAAATAAAAACATTAATATTGTTATTTAAAAAATAATAAAATTAATTGTATAGTTTATTACATTGAAAGTGTCTGTGAGTCTGTGTGTCTGTGTGTCTGTGTGTCTGTGTGTCTGTGTGTCTGTGTGTCTGTGTGTCTGTGTGTCTGTGTGTCTGTGTGTCTGTGTGTCTGTGTGTCTGTGTGTCTGTGTGTCTGTGTGTCTGTGTGTCTGTGTGTCTGTGTGTCTGTGTGTCTGTGTGTCTGTGTGTCTGTGTGTCTGTGTGTCTGTGTGTCTGTGTGTCTGTGTGTCTGTGTGTCTGTGTGTCTGTGTGTCTGTGTGTGTGTGTCTGTGTGTCTGTGTGTCTGTGTGTCTGTGTGTCTGTGTGTCTGTGTGTCTGTGTGTCTGTGTGTCTGTGTGTCTGTGTGTCTGTGTGTCTGTGTGTCTGTGTGTCTGTGTGTCTGTGTGTCTGTGTGTCTGTGTGTCTGTGTGTCTGTGTGTCTGTGTGTCTGTGTGTCTGTGTGTAACATTTCATTTTCGGAATTTTGAAATTCTGATTTAAGATTCGGTTAAAATTAAAGGTATATGCGATCAGTATTAAAAATTGCTTCTTCAGAGTCATCAACAAAATGTCGACCAAAATATTAAAAATAAGAATACTTTGAATTCATAGTTTTAAAATGTAGAATAGGATAGTCTTAAGAAGTATTTCCCCAATTTTGCAATAAAAATATTCGAAAGATGATTGATTTATTTTCTAAAATTTTGATTTATGTATAATATATTTAGTAATGCATTTGTGGTATAATTGGTATAATATGTAAATAATATGACTAAATATAAATAAACTCATATTTAAATTATATTATTGACTCATATAGACTAGTGATTCTCAACAATGAATATTTTATTTATATTTATAAGAAATGTGTTTTTCTATTAAATATCTTTGATGTTATAACCATAGATACAGACAATAAAATTTTAGTAATTCTTATGTGGAGTATTATAATATGTATAAGAAGTAATTTACGCTATTAAAGTTTGTTTATATGCAATGCTTTCTAGCATTCTCAACTGGTTTATTATTCAATTATATTAAATTTAATGTTAAAATGTGTCTAAAAGAAACATTAATATTAAATAGTTTTCCATTGAAAATAAAATAACATTTTGTATAATTTAATTAATAATTATATTGTTTTATTACATATTGTTAAAATAAATCCTGTTTAATATAATTAATATATAAAATATTTAATATTATCAATTTTGCGTCAAAACATCATAATATATAAAGTTGATATATAAATCATTATTTTTAATATTTCATGAGTTAAATATATAAAATATAATATTTAATAACTTTAGGAATTAATCAGATTTTTTAGGAAAATGTTTTTTAAACCAATAAACAAAATCATTCATTTTTGATCGTTTTTTCTGTGACTTATGTTTGCATAGCTTTTCCTTAACACACTGTCCTTTTGCACCGTTATCTCTATAATAACCTTCTCTACAATAACAATCCGTTTCACATGTATTGTCACAAATAACTGACCGATTGATATCAGCGCAAGTTTGGCCACAATTAGAGCCGCACCGGTACTCCTCATTGTCGGCGCATATATTCTTTAAGAGCGAGCCTTTAATTATATATTTTCGCTTAAGTGTAGAGCAATCATATGAGCGAACGCATCGACTCTTAAGTTTGTCGTCTCTATAAAAGCCAGGCCTACAAAAACAACCTTTTTTACAGGTCTGGTCACAGATCATACCTAACAGATAAAACAAATACTTATATTAATATAATACAACCATTTTTAGAAAATCCGACGATGACTACTATAACTACAACCGAACCAACCATTACTACAACTGAACCAATTTTATTATTAAACTAAAATGGCAAATGTACCAACTATTACTTCAACTGATCCAACTATTACTACAACAATACCTACCAGTATTAGTACTACTGAAGAGACTATAATAACAACCGATACAACCACTAGTCCGACGATGACTACTATAACTACAACCGAACCAACCATTACTACAATAATTACTATTATAACTGAACCAACTATTATTCAACTGATCCAACTATTACTACAACAATAAACCAGTATTAGTACTACTGAAGAGACTATAATAACAACCAATACAACCACTAGTCCGACGATGACTACTATAACTACAACCGAACCAACCATTACTACAACTGATCCAACTATTACTACAACATTATACCTGTAATAAATATTATACAACTGAACCAGACTATTAATAAAATTACCGATATTATGATAATAAATTACAAACTAGTCCGACGATTGAATTAGTTAATTACTACTAATAATAACTAACAACCGAACCAACCATTACTACAACTGAACCAACTATTACTGAACCAACAAAAAATGAACCAACCATTACTACAACTGAACCAACTATTACTTCAACTGATCCAACTATTACTACAACAATACCTACCAGTATTAGTACTACTGAAGAGACTATAATAACAACCGATACAACCACTAGTCCGACGATGACTACTATAACTACAACCGAACCAACCATTACTACAACTGAACCAACTATTACTTCAACTGATCCAACTATTACTACAACAATACCTACCAGTATTAGTACTACTGAAGAGACTATAATAACAACCGATACAACCACTAGTCCGACGATGACTACTATAACTACAACCGAACCAACCATTACTACAACTGAACCAACCATTACTACAACTGAACCAACTATTACTTCAACTGATCCAACTATTACTACAACAATACCTACCAGTATTAGTACTACTGAAGAGACTATAATAATACAACCAAGTCCGACGATGACTACTATAACTACAACCACTAGAACGACAATGAACAACTATAACTACAACCGAACCAACCATTACTACAACTGAACCAACCATTACTACAACTGAACCAACTATTACTTCAACTGATCCAACTATTACTACAACAATACCTACCAGTATTAGTACTACTGAAGAGACTATAATAACAACCGATACAACCACTAGTCCGACGATGACTACTATAACTACAACCGAACCAACCATTACTACAACTGAACCAACTATTACTACAACCGAACCAACCATTACTACAACTGAACCAACTATTACTTCAACTGATCCAACTATTACTACAACAATACCTACCAGTATTAGTACTACTGAAGAGACTATAATAACAACCGATACAACCACTAGTCCGACGATGACTACTATAACTACCATTACTACAACTGAACCAACYATTACTACAACTGAACCAACCATTACTACAACTGAACCAACCATTACTACAACTGAACCAACTATTACTTCAACTGATCCAACTATTACTACAACAATACCTACCAGTATTAGTACTACTGAAGAGACTATAATAACAACCGATACAACCACTAGTCCGACGATGACTACTATAACTACAACCGAACCAACCATTACTACAACTGAACCAACTATTACTACAACCGAACCAACCATTACTACAACTGAACCAACTGAACCAACTATTACTTCAACTGATCCAACTATTACTACAACAATACCTACCAGTATTAGTACTACTGAAGAGACTATAATAACAACCGATACAACCACTAGTCCGACGATGACTACTATAACTACAACCGAACCAACCATTACTACAACTGAACCAACCATTACTACAACTGAACCAACTATTACTTCAACTGATCCAACTATTACTACAACAAACCTACCACTATTACTACAACTGAACCAACTATAATAACAACCGATACAACCATAGTACCAACTATTACTACAACCGATACAACCACAATTATAACTACTACCAACCATTACTACAACTGAACCAACTATTATAATAACTATTTTTACAACGATACAACCACTAGTCCTACAACAGTATGACTACTATACTATACTACAACCGAACCAACCATTACTACAACGTCAAACCAACATTTGACTACAACAACCAAAATTACTACAACTGAACCAACCATTACTACAACTGAACCAACTATTACTTCAACTGATCCAACTATTACTACAACAATACCTACCAGTATTAGTACTACTGAAGAGACTATAATAACAACCGATACAACCACTAGTCCGACGATGACTACTATAACTAATTATGATTTACTTAACCATTAATATACAACTATTTTACTTCAACTGATCCAACTAATTTTAATTGATTATTAACCTATAATTTTAATAATCAATTTAATGAACCAACCATTACTACAACTGAACCAACTATTACTTTAAATTAAAATATAATATTTGTATATAATTTTATGGCAGAGATTTAATGAGACGGTTAGCAAACATCACAAATGTTTTTTTAAATACAATTGTTTTTTCAAATTCAATGTTTATGTTTATCAATTAAAAATTGTTATATCACTCATTACTAATTATCTACTTATAACTAATCAATGAATATATTATAGTTATTAATGAATGTTAATACATGTAAAATCATAATAATAATAATAATTTGTAAATATGTTTACTTAATTTATTATAACTTTTAGTATGTCTGCATTTTTTTTGTTAACTATTTATTATGTGGACAAATGTGTGGACAAAAATTGACAAAAATGTGAGCAAAAATTTGTATCGTTATATGCATTCATTGTTTTTGTAATTTATTTAATTAAAATAAAATATTTTATATACTTTAATTAAGTTGTTTTTTTGTGATAAATACATATATGATATATAAAATATAATAAAATTTATCAATTTTCAAAAGTACAATAATTAAAACAATCAATGTTTTTTTAAACTTGATTATATAATAATTTTAAAACTATAAACTATAAAATAATAATAATTATAGAAACATAAATTGTGACTAAAAAAATTATGATGCAATTTAAATATACTATTTTTCAATAACTGTATTATATATTATAATATAATATAATATATTATAAAATAGCAAAATAAGTGGTAAATAATTATTAAAATGTTTCACTAAATGATTGGACAGACAATAATATTGTAAAATTTCAATACTATATATAAATACTATATATATATTAGTGAAGCTCTCAATAGTATGTTTCCATTTCAACCCAACCGCCCGGATTGCGCCGTAAGATAAATCTACGGATTTCGTCGTACAAGAAGATTAAGACTGAGAAAGGCATCGCCGGAACCCACCAACGAAGCTTCAGAGGATACATACGTAAGCCCTTATCCAGTCCGGGACAGTAGCACATGAAAGCAGCCATTGCTGTCTCAAAACAGAGACCAAAGTTAAGGATGTGATTAGTCATCCCCTGGTGTATGATTGAGTTGCGACGGGTCTTGCAGATGATTAGATCAGCCCATTGGACAACAACAATGGCCACGAAAAAAGCCGTATGACATGTGAACTCAAGTGTTTTGCGTTGTTTGTATGTCCACTCCTGTCCGTACGAATCGGTCACATCATTGATGGCTTTCGAGTCCCAATCCTTTCTGATGCCCAGAAGTGTGTCGAAGAGGAAACCATTTTCACCCAATATAACAAAATAGGTGAAGAAGCCGGCGGCCGCCTGCATCATACCGATCTGACCGTACGCTATCGATATGAGCCGTTCGTTAACCAGTTTATCGGTTTTCGGGTCTCGCGGTTTGCGTTTCATTATATCGCTTTCGGGTTTTTCATAAGCTAACGAAATGGCCGGAACCATATCGGTGCCCAAATCGATACACAAAATAGTAACCGTTCCCAACGGTAGCGGCACATCAGCCAATATAAACAAAAGAAATGGCGAAATCTCTGGTATGTTACTCGTGAGTGTGTATGCGATAGACTTCTTTAAGTTATCAAATATGAGTCGTCCCTCTTCAACACCGGTTACTATCGAAGCAAAGTTGTCGTCCAATAGTATCATATCTGCCGCCTGTTTAGATACATCGGAACCGGCGATACCCATCGCCACTCCAATGTCTGCCTTTTTGAGCGCCGGTGAGTCATTGACGCCATCACCAGTTACGGCAACGATAGCTCCCTGTCTTTGACAGCCTTCAACAATGATTAGCTTCTGTTGCGGTGACGTCCGGGCGAACACAATCTCCGGATGATTTCGTAGTAAGTCGTCTAACTGTTCTGAGCTTAATTCCCGCAGATTTTGGCCGTGAATGACCGCTGCTTTGGCCATTCGCGGATCTACGTCTTCAATGGGAATGTTAAGTCTATTTGCAATATCTTCAACCGTTTCGTTGCCTTCAGATATAATACCAACGGAACGTGCGATAGCTTTAGCCGTAATGGGATGATCGCCGGTAACCATAATTACTTTAATACCGGCGCTGCGGCACTTGGCTACTGCGTCGGGAACAGCAGCTCTGGGCGGATCAATCATCGAAACGAGTCCAATAAATTTCATACCACTGAGAGGAAAGTTGCATTCGTCGGAATCAAATGGGAATCCTTGCGGGTATTTTTCGGGATTCAATCGTTGTTCACAAAATCCAATAACCCGTTCGCCGAGTCCACCCAACTCAAGGTATGCCGTATTGAAGGCGTCTTTCATGTCCTGATCTAATGGCAGTTCTTTGCCATTGATATTAATGGTTGAACTCCTTTCGAGTATCCTTTCGGGCGCTCCTTTCATACACAATAAATACGACGGATCGTCGTCTTCAGTCTCATGAATAGTGACGTGAAATTTATTCGTTGAATTGAATGGCAGTTCACATACTTTTCGATTTCTAGCTCTAAATTGCATAACATTCCCGACCGACAGTTCCATACACTTCAAAATGGCCGACTCCGAGGCATCTCCGGCTACATCTCTCTTAAGAATTGGCACCGATTCCTGGGCAGCTTTGAACTCGGCTCGCGAACACAGACACGCATTTCTTGCTAATGCTGTCCAACCGGGAGATGACTTATTAAACTGAGCACCACTTTGGTCTTCGGTAGTGTCGGCCTCAATAATCTGATTGTCGAACCACATGTGGGCGACAGTCATCCGGTTTTGTGTCAAAGTTCCCGTTTTGTCTGAACATATCGTCGATGTCGAGCCCAAAGTTTCGACGGCTTCCAAATTTTTTACTAAACAGTTTTTACTGGCCATACGTTTGGCTGTTAGTGTCAGACATACGGTAACTGTTGCTAACAATCCTTCGGGAACATTGGCTACAATAATACCAATTAAAAAGATAACGGCATCCAACCAATGATAGCCTAACACAAATGCCACTACAAAGAAAGTGATGCCTAAAAACACGGCCACTCCTGTAATAATATGAATGAAATGTTCAATCTCTCGGGCAATCGGAGTTTCGCCCATTTCCAAACCCGACGCTAGATTTGCTATACGACCCATAATAGTGCGATCGCCGGTATTGATGACAATCCCGCGGGCCGTTCCTTCCACACAATTGGTTGAGAAAAAGGCTAAATTCTTGGACTCCAATGGATTGTCACTTGAATTATCGGCTGACCGCGACTGTGCCTCAGACTCTCCAGTCAAACACGAGTTGTCGACTTTGCATCCCTGAGCCATAATTACACGCAAATCAGCCGGTATTCTATCACCGCCTTTGACTTCAACTAAATCGCCGACAACCAGTTCTTCGGCCGGAAACGTATACTTCTGACCACCCCTTATGACAGTTGCATACTATTCAATAATAAACATATTTATAGCAGAAATAATTAATAATAGATTAAAATTGAATATTATTTCTAAATTAATAGTATTGTTTGAAGTATCTGATTGCATACCTGTGGCACCATATTTTTGAATGACTCCATAATTTTGGAGCTCTTTGCCTCCTGATAGTAGGAAAACACACCCGTCACCACTACCACTGCCACCAATACTACACCTAAATATAACTAATTTTATACACAAAAAAACAATAATTATTTTTCCAAAAAAACTGAATAATCTATTATTATTATTATTTTTGGCAATACATTGTCATCGGGAGGCTCTTCAAAAGTGCCGGCTTGTATAGAGTAGGCCACAAAACACAATACACCGCCGATCCATAAAAGCATAGCAAATCCGCCGAACAGGTTCTTACAAAACTTGATCCATTCGGGAGTTGTCTTGGGAGGGGTCAGTGCGTTAGGACCGTCGCGGGCCAAGTACTCCTTGGCCTTCTCTGGGGTCAAACCCTAAATCACAAATAATTATGAAAAATATATATTAATAAATCAATAAATATATATAAGATTATATACTTTGCATATGAAAAATGTTATAATAGTTTATATTTAATAGTAAACAATATAATCAATCAATACTTACTGTCTTAACACTGGTGCGGATTCGCGTACAAAGCTCTTCAATACTGATCTGGTGTTCATCCTATTCATACAAATTAATATTTTTGTAATAATAATTTGTTAAAAATATTTTCAATTACTTATACTTAAAGTACATATTCAAAAATACACTTTTAATTTTTAAAAATTACTTGTTTTATATTATAATATTGCAAAAATACTATCCTAGTTATAATAGATTGATTTAAAAGATTTATTGAAAACATAATAATTAATGAAAAAAAGTAAAAATCAAACTAATGTATAACAAACAAACAAACTAACTAACCATGCTGACTTCCTGCTTGAGGTCATCCATTTTGCTGTTGTTTTGTTTTTTGGCCATTTTTGGTAATCCCGATACTGTCCTAAAATCATCGGGTGCTCGATTAGGGATTGCTGACCGATAACTATCGGCACGTTTTTGGATCTTTATTTATAATTTTATGAAATAAAATGCTATATTTAATTCAAATTCATTTGATTAATTTTTCATATAAATATTTAGCAATGCCATAATATATTTTCAGTTATAAATATAATGATGATATTTTATATTAGATAAAAAAAATTAAATTTTATTTTTATTTTATTGATTTGTAAATAAACTTTTCTTTTGTTTTCTTACTCAAAAAAATATATACAACCTTTATGCTTACTGTTTTATAATACTGTACTTATTTTTATTATATAAAAATTGTTGTTAAATTAAATAAAAATAAGTTTTAAATTGTCATATAAATAAAATGTTTATCTTGTATAATATATAAATAATATAATCTATTATAATAGAGATGCAGTAGTATATTTTAATGATTTAAATATTCATAAGTAATTAAATTTATACTGAAATAAAAATTATATTTTATACATTAACATATTTATATAATAAATAAATATGTGTACTATTGATATATATATATATGAAAAGGACAACATAAAAATAGTCATTATTATTATAATTATGTCATACTTTTTTATTTTGTTTTCTATCTTTGTATGATAATAATTATAGTATTGTATAATTTGTTTTATAATATTATTTTATCATTTATAAGATTTGGTAAAAAGACAACTTTCTTGAAAATTTCTGAAAAAATCTATTAATTTTATTTATTTTCTTAATTTGTTTTCCTGTAATAGACTATCTTTAATAATACTGATTAATATTTATTATTATTATATTACTATAAAAAGTTGTTAAAATCAATACGTTTTCTCACATTTTCTCATATATTTTCTACGTTTGTCTTTTATTTATAATTTTACATTTTTACCTTATCTATAGAGAAATATACATCAATTTTTGTTGTCATAAAACTTACATTATTATTAATATCTTTTATATTAATATTTTAATATATTGCAAACATGGAGTATATTATAATGTTCATAATGAATTTATAGTATATTATTTACAATATTAATAGAAATTTTAATTATAATATTGTAATTGAAAAAATATAGAGAACCCATATTATAGTCTAGTAATAAATTAGTTTTTTTAATCAAATTTACTACTGAAAAAATTTGTAGTTTTATAGATAATTTTCTATTTGCTTATTTATATATATATATATATCTTTATTGTAATATAATATATATTTCAAATAATGTTTTAAATATTTAATTAGTTTTATATAAAATATTATATTTATTCTAAAATTTTAATATCAAAACATAAAAGTCTTAACGTATTTTTATAGTATATAAATAAAATTTTATTTATTAGAAAACCACAATTTTTTAAATATATGGTATATTTTAAGATCAAATTATAATACATCATATTAGTAATTAGTACAATATTAACAGTAAATTATAAATACCATTAAAATTATATTTAATAATTAATGTATTTTTTAAACTGCTAATTGACCCATAAATTACTATCAATCAATTTTGTATTGCAAAATAACTTTAAGTTCAATAAGTTATGAAAATAGAATTTTTTAAAAATTTATTTAAAAAATGCTTTAGCATTAAATTAATGTATTTAAAAAAAATTGAATTGACAAGAATATATTTTTCTATATTAAGTTATTTTAATAAAATATATGTCAAAATTTTGCTCAATTTAAACAAATGAACAAAATATTATAAATAATGTTTACGCAAGTTATTAATAATATTAGTATTATTATTATTATCATTAATAAGCATTAAAATATGGATGCATTGTATTAAGTTATACATAAAAAATTATAGATTAAATTCAATAAATGATAGTTAAAAAAGTTTTAATGTACAGTATTATTACTGTAAGGTATATAAAAAAATTAATGCATAGACAGTCATAGCATTTATATTCATATATCTATGTGTTATCATTATGTGTGTAAAATTAATTTTAAATGATATGTTTAGAGCAATTAATTAATTATTATAGTCTCTTAAACACGAATAAACAACTCAATTGAATCAATAAATTAGTTTTAAAAATATATATTAAGCAGTTAGTTGTTATTGAATATATGTTTTACATTGTAATGCCATAAACGTGTGCTTGAATTTAATAATAATTAAAATTATTATAGATATTAATCAATTTTTTATAATTAAAAAAATACTTTTATATATAATTATTTTTAAGCAATATTAAAATAACAATTTTACAAAATTTATAAATAAAATTTTATGAATATTGTATAATTTTTTTTAATAAATAGTTTTCAAACAATTTATTGATTTTTAGAAATAGTATACAAAAAATATAATCCATTTATAAAAATAAATTATGCGTAAGAGGTGTTTCTTTAATGTTTTTGTTAGTTAAGAAAATATTATTTTTTAAATAATAAAAATACAAAAATATTTTCATAATAAATTGTTTTTCTATTTAAATAAAATAAATAATTATAAATATATATAAAATTTGTTATTTAATAATTATTTATAATTTTTATATTATGTATATTTATAAACAATATAAACAAATTATTATTTTTATAAGAAAATATTTATATATTTTAGTTATTAGCATTAAAAAAATTTAAACTAATATAACTTTGTATTTTAAATAATAATTTATTTTAAAATCAGTTAATTAACTAATTATTTTAATTAGTTATGTCATCTAAAATCTATAATAATTTAATATCAAAATCATTAATTATTAAAAATCATTTTAAAAATTAAAATATTATAATTATTACAGAGTATATAATATACACAATTAAACATTAATTGTATACATTAAAAACATTTACAAATAATTGTAAATTATATATGTTTATATTTATAAATTTAATATAATGTATAATATAAAAGATATCAAGTAAAATATCATTTTTGAATTTAGAAAAAATAATAATTTTTACTTAATATCTATATATTAAAGAAAACAATTAAATTGTATCATACAATATAGCTTTAGGCAATATATATATAGATTATATCTATCTTTATAATAATAATAATAAATATACTGACCGGTATTTTTTTAAATTGAAGCGATTGACTACACAATTGTTATTACTTAATGTCAAATACACTGACAGAATCGGTAGGTTATACTCCGAGTGCTGGCAAGTGCTCAGTGTTTGAGAGCAATCGCACTGATAACTCGGAAAACCGATGTTATCGTACAGAATATATCATATATGATATAACTATTAAACAATATGCTGAGTATTGCTATTGAATTTAAGTCGATATATAAATGTTAAATGTAAGAGAGAGAGAGAGAGAGAGAGAGAGAGAGAGAGAGAGAGAGAGAGAGAGAGAGAGAGAGAGAGAGAGAGAGAGARAGAGAGAGAGAGAGAGAGAGATAGAGAGAGAGAGAGAGAAAGAAAGAGAGAGAGAGAGAGAGAATTAGAGAGAATGGGAGAGAGAAAGACTACATGTGTAACTCTTAAACTATATTATGCTTATAATATTTTAAGGGAATAGTAGCAGTAGTATTGGGCACATGGAGATTGTGTGTTATAAAATGTATACACATTATATAGAAACGAAAAATTTCTTAGCCATTGCCCAAATCAATAAGTTTTTGTAGAGTAATTCAGATATAAACACACTATCTATGTATGTGTGCACTACTGTACTATACTTATGGGTCTACTGTTTGTCAACATTTATGTTTGACATTTCAAATGCCAAATAGTCAATATATAACTATAAAGTATATAAATTTATTTATCTAAATAATATTTAAATACTGTGACATTTACTATTTAAAAGATATTTCTATTTTATTAATTGATAATTTATTATTTATTATAAACATCTTTTTTCTAGTAATGAATTTCTAATTGAACAATGAATTATTAAATTAAAAATTTCACAAAAAAAAACTATCAATTTGAGTGAACATTTAAAAATTAAAGTTTAGTCCAAATATACAGTATTATAATTTATAAATATTTGATTAAATAATCTAATAAATTGTTTATTTAATGTGCCCACAAAATAAACTAGACATCTATTCCATCTATTGAATAATTAAAAAAGTATCAACAAATTTATTTAATGTAATTTACTATAAATATATACCTGTTTATACCTAACTTCAAATTGATTTTTTTTATAAACATAGACTTCTATCAAATATGTTATTTAAATAAATGTTTTCATAAGTATAGTATTGTAACTCTAGAAATCACACAACATTTTTTAAATTCCAGTTAAAATTAAAAATTAAACGTATAATACACTGTAATATATTGATTTTTTGAACATTTTCCACTTATTAATAATTTCTGATAAAATATATTAAATAAAACTCACGACAAACGATATAAATAAAAGTTTGAATATAAATTCATAATATATTTATTTAATAGAAAATTACATATTTGTATACAGATTGATATTTTATTTAAATTATAATATTTAAAAATATATTTCTAATAATATTTTTTTATTAAATACCAAAATAAATTCAAAAATTTATGGCAATTATCTAACACAACACCTGTGCGATAGGAAAATACATTAATTTTTACAGTATTACAATCATTAGTCAATTGTTGTGTATTTCACTAAAAAACATTAACTTAATACATAAAAATAACGATTGATATAAAAAACAAGTAATACATAACAAATAATAACATAAACATCACAAACAACAACCTGTGAATATAATTTTAACTTATAATTATATGTAGGCTATTGACTTGTTTTATAAAAATATGAATCATATGTAATTAAATAGTTTTGTAATATATATATATATCTTATAATTTATATAAAATATTATATTTACTCTGTATATTAAACATTTAAATATAGTAAATATATTACAGTTTAAATTCAAAATGATAATAAATATTTAGAAAATAAAAAATATGTATTTAAAAATATAATAATATAGTAATATTTGAAATTATCTTTAAAGTTTATTTGCAATAAATAGAAAATTTTATAATATTTTATATTTATATATTTAGAGTAATACTGTACTTTTATTACAATAAACTTAAATGTAAATAATTAGCTATAATATAATAAATTCTTTCATATTAATAATACAAGTTAATACTGTATTATTACTGTTAAAATTAAAGTAAAAGTTGAGAAATTACCTGAATATTAGGTGTCATTATTTTTGCAACAAATGTAATCGCAATGAATTTATTTGATGTGTATGTAAATTGTCACAAATGCTTATCATAGAAAATAGGAAATGTAAATTAGTTTTATGCTAATGTGATATTTATTATATGCTGTATAATTTTAACTACAACATAGAAAAATGTTATATTCAATAGTTTTAGTAATTAAAAAAATATATATAATTATATTATAAATGTTTGATAAATATTATATACTTTATTATAAAAAAAATCAGCATGCTAATATCTAATTATACAATACAAAACTTTAATATTACACAAAATCTGGAATTTAAATTAAATATTAAAACATATACAGTATTTAATACATTTATTAAACAACACAATATATTGCATAAAATATTGCACTTTAATGTCTTTTACAATTCAGGTGTAAAATTGTTGTCCAATACATTGGGTGTGGACTCTATGTCGATATGTTTTGTCTCAAAAAATTTATGAATCATTAGAGTTGCAAAATAAACTAAAGTACCGTTTAATACAGCGCTATACTACCGGTGCTCTCCACCAGTCACTTATATGAATCATGTATTGAATATATTGTCAAAACATTTTATGCAATATAAATACTATATATAAATGATAAATGAAATATGTATTGAATTTAATGATGGAGTGAAACATTCATGACATAAACTAAATGTGTGTTTACAGACAATATTATTATTATTTAAATAGATTTCTATGGAAACCACTATTAAGTATACAATTAATTCTCTAATGTGTATTAAATTTTATTTAAAAAGCCTGGTATAGCAACTTATGATAGACTTTATGATATTATAAATCATGTTTAGATAGATATATTCAAATATATCTCAATCATAAATTTGAGGTTAATTTATATTTAGTTATAAAAGTATTATGCAACTGATAATGTTCAATTTTATCATCCATTATATACATAAACAGTTTATTTTTTATATAAAGTAAATAATGTAATGTATTTTTTAATAATATAATACAATAGTTTTATTTGTTTAAATAAAATAAGCAAAACACATAATAAGCATATTTGTACATTTAAAATATCTTATATCAGATAATTCAATATATACTGTATATATATTTAATATATAATATATTATTAAAATTACACTCATAAACGCAAACTATTAAAAATAAATAAAAATTAAAAAAGATAAATAATAAAAATATACAGTTTTATTAATACTGTACATTGTACCATATAATTAATAAGTATATTTATAACTTATAAAAATAACAATTATCTATAACATAAAAAGTTACAGAAAATATACATAAATATAGTTTTTGAATATTAATAAAATAAATGTTAAGCAAATAGCAGAAAATGATATTATATATTATATGACATATAATATATCCGATGACTATAGTACTAYCACTACTACTACTAATTTTCAAGATTAATGATTTTAAGCAATAACATCGACAAGAGTGATAAAATCTGTTAATAAAATAAATTAAAAATTGAAAAATGATTTGTTTAACAAAAAACTGATACTTACTTCATAACAGCGAAAATTATTAATAGTAAACAATTTCCAACACGAAAAACCAACATTACGTTTAGCTGTCCTCTCAATTAACATTAGTAACTGAAATAAAAAGATAATTAATTAATTAAATACTTTATACATAATCTAATAAAAAACAAACTTTAATTGTATCACTAATACTAATAACATCTTTATTTAAAACAACAAAACGATTCATCATTTCATACAATTTGTTGGCCTCTGAATTAACCGACGATGCAGTAAATATGACAAACAAAAAGATAGCTATAAATAAAATGTTGACATAATTATAGATAATAGTCGATACGATATCCATCGACACGAAGATTGAATTGTAGAGGAAGAGTATTGTCGCCGAACTCATTGTCACCCAAAAGAATAGCAAAAACTTTGACCAATAGGTTGTGTTGTATTCATTCAATTCTTTATAGAGATTATCCATGGATTTGATTATATGTTGAATAAGTTGGATATGTTGTTGTTGTTGTTGTTGCTGTCGACGACTCTTTAAAACTATTAACTTATGATAATTTGCTTTAAATTTATATCTTAAATAATAACATATAAGATAAAAGTAAATGATTTGAAATAGTATGACATTCCAGTAGTGATGGCACCAAATCATGAATAATACAACATTAGGAATGCCATAAATAAGTGCATCGATAGGATTGAGACTAATGGCATAACTGACCAAAATAATAAAGAATCCACAATTTTGAATTAAAAATTTATTATTTATTTCTGCAAAAGAGCACAAAACTCTCATTTGTTTAATTAATTTTAAAATTAAATTATAATCTTTAAGACCTATACTATTAGGTCTTATCAAACCTGACATCATTTGAAACAATTGAAGAAATGTCGGCTTAATGTCCAGTCGATAGTTATAATAATAGAGAGCTTGTGATAAAATGGCTATACTTGAGATCAATATGAAAAAAATGTTGTTTAAGGTACGGATGCCTAAAAAGTAACCGAAATCACCCAACAGTGCAAATAGTAATTTATTATCGAGACTTAAAAACAAACAAACTGTTCGCTGAAATAATAAAATTAAATATATAGATAACAACATTAATGGATTGTAAAACCAATTTCTCTGATAGTTGTCATCCATATTATGCAAACATAAGCCAATTCTGTATAAGTGATAGACAGCTGGCTTATAGATAACATTTTGAGGTAATACTTTACCATGGTCTAGTACCATGGTTAAATGTATTTACTATCATTTATTTAATATGAAACTACAGTATTTTGATAATATTTTTGTTAAGTTACTAACATTTTTTTCTTATAATTCTATTGAAAATTATTTAGCAAATAATTGATATTTTTATTATTATTGTTATATTATTATTAAATAACTGTTTTTTAATTCGGAAACAATAAAACAATTATGAAATGAAACAAATATTTACATAAGTGTAATTATAGTTTTATTAA